ATTGAAGAGGTTATGTGTGTAAAGCAGAGGTGAAAATCACAGGATTTGAAAAAGTCAAAGAAATGTGAGGCTAATGGGTAAAATGAGTTTTCCACTTGTGTCTTGTAGTTACTTGAGAAGAATGTCAGGAATTGGGATGGAGCAGAAAGCTCTCAAATAGGTGGCAATGTTCTCAATAAATATGGACAAGTTGGGACACCTGGGTGGCTCAGCAGTTAAGCACCTGCCTTCGACCCAGGGCATGATCCTGGAGTCCTGGGACCGAGTTCCTTATCGGGTTTCCTGCATGGAGCCTGCTTCTTCCTCTGCTTGTGTCTCTGCCTCTGTGTGTATCTCTCATGAATAAATAAAATATTTTTTTTAAAAAAAGAATATGGACAATGACATGGATATATCTGCAGTGGCAGTAACAGGATTTATAGAGGTTGGGTATTCACATATAATGATCTTATCTAGGAGAGATATTGCAAGTTGGAGAAGAATAAGATGCTGAAATGGGAAGTGAAGGTGTAGGGATTTAGGGAGAAAGAGTAATCGTCTTGGCCAAAAAATATGGTGGATATCCTATGGGTCAGGAACTATGGGGGAGGCATTGGACAGGTATCCTAGAACTGATAGAGAAAAACTGATCTAGGGTGCGAGCCATATTTAATTTAAAGCAAGACATAGAAGGAAGTTTTTATGAAGACTTAAAAGATCTGGTGGGGTTTGTTTACAACAGAACAGAGGGCGGAAGCAGATGTTAGTAAGCTGCATGAAACAGTGTGCATGGAATAGTAAGCAGACTAATCTGCTATTGATCTTAAACTCTATCTGCCTTCTGCCCCCTTTTTAAAGATTTTCTAAGCTCTGATTATTAGATTCATGCTGTTGCCAAGCAACAGATAAATTTTCCTTTGTCACTCTGACATTGCCCCATCTCCCCTTCTAGGGAATAAAGGGCTAAGTTATAGTGTATGTAACCCAGCTCGAGAAGGACTTGGCCTGATGAGTGAAAATGTGACCTTACAGTAAAGGAGCTTCAGGGCCATCAATATGTGCCAGCAGGAGCAAGGAGAATACTTTTGGGACTGTATTCTGAGGATGCTGAACAAGATACAAATGGAAAATGAATTTGGATAAGGGAGTGTTTATTGATTTGGGATTATTGATTTGGGAACACTCATCAGGAAGAGAAGAATGAATCCTGGTAAGGATCCTGGGAAATATGACTAGCATACTTCCATGATGGCTCTCAGAAGCTTGAAGAAAGTGGTGGCCCATACTCAAAGAAGTAGAAATAGAATTGTCATGGCAGATGGTGGGAACAGGGAGAAAAATGCTCAGAAAGGTGGGCATGCTAGAGAGACTATGCCATATTAAAGCTGGATGCTCCATTATCAAAGTGACTATGAATTTTCTGGGGAGAGGGGTATCCCATGAGAAGCTCAGTGGTGGCTCTCCTCTGTGGGTCATAGCTGATGACAAAAGATGATGTTACCAAGCTAGGTTCAAAGATAACAACAAGGATAATAAAATCCTGAAACAACAGAGGCTAGGGGGCAGCACGTAAACGTCATAAAGGATACAACAGTCCAATTGAGTGGCAAGATTAGAGTGGCAGTCAGTGGTCTTAACCTAGAGAGAGCTGTGAAGATGATTAATAGAATATGGGGAAAAGATAGAAGCTAGAAGCTAGCCAACCAGAGTGTGCTTAAAAAAAAAAAAAATCAAGGATGGATGACCCCAAGGCTGAAAGCAAAGGCCTTCATAAAAAGTTTCAGTCTCTTCCCTAGTTTCCTGAGTTGAGCCAGTTTATCAGTCCAGAACCCAGTAGCTGAAGGAGAGGCAAGAATGCCAGGAGGGAGGACCCTTCAACACCGTAGTCAGAATATATGGTCATGACTTCTCCCACCCGCACTCCACTCCCAATTCTTCCCCAAAAGGACCTGTGGCCATTCCCTTGGAAAACCATACGCTGAAGATTAGAGAATGCCTGAACATTTTGAAGATTGTTGGACACAATCATTATTGATACTTAGGAACTCTGAGTATTATGACAGTCCTCAATTATAGTAGAGGTATACAGGAGCCAGATAATGAGCGGAGTTTCTGCCCAGATCTGGCATATAGCAGGTCCACTGGGCACAAGGACCCATGTGGTGGTCATTCCGCCAGTCCTAAATGTACAATTGGAATGGACATACTTGATAGGTAGTATAACACCCACATCAGTTCCTTGGCCAATGGGATAAGAGTTATCAAAGTGGGAAAGGGGAGCCTCTGAAATTGCACAGTTAATATATTGAATAAAAACAATATAGGAGAATGGTAGATAATAATGCCACTTTTGGTTCCCATCTAAACTCCATTTAATTCACCATACGTGTCCCTCCAAAGATCCAACAGTTTCTAGAGAATAGACGATAGACTGCCACAATTCAACCAAGTAATAACCCCAATTAGAGCATATGATATCTTTACAGGAGCAGAGCCAGGTGACCTCAGGTCATTGACTTGTGGTGACTGATATGATGAATGTGCTATTTCCCAACCTTATTAGAAAGTAGAATTAGAAAACGTTTGCATTCAATGAGAATGAGTAATAGAAAATATTTATAGTGTTCCCTTAGGGCTGCATTGTCTCTTCTACCCTCTGTCTAAATGTAATCCTAAGAGATTTGAAATGTTTGGACATCTCGCAGAACACAACAGTGGTCTGCTACATTGATGGCATTATACTAATCCGGTTAGGTTAACAAAAATTGGAGGCCTTGGTGAAATATGTAGACTCCAGAAGAGTAAGAAAATACCTATAAATTGTTGGGGATCCATAAAATCAGTGAAATTTAAGAATTTATGGAGTTCAGAGCATACTTTTTCATGTACTATTTAAGAAAAATTTGCTTATTTCTCAGTCATATTTTCTTCTAGAATATTTATTATTTTACTTTCATATTTAGATTTATGACCCTTCTGGAATTGATTTTTTTGTACGTGTGCGAGGTAGGTGGTCAGCCTTCATTTCTTCTGTAGTGTTAATCAATATCTCCAGGATCATTTATTGGAACACTTCCCTCCAAAAAACCCCAAATTTCCTATATTGCTCTGTACTATTACCTTTGAAAAATCAAATTACCTTACATGTGTGGATCTTTTTTAGGTCTCTCTTGACCATTTGCCTATTTTCTATCCTTGTGCCAATTGGAACTGACTTAATGACTTTAATCTTATAATGTCAGGTAGTGTAAATATTCCAGCTTTGGTTTCTGAAATTACCTTGGCTATTCTCAGCTTTTTAATTTCCATATATATTTTAGAATCTGCTTATTACTTTCCATTCAAAAAATCTTCTGGGACATTATTGAAATTGCATTGAATTTATAAATCAGTTTTGGGAGAGATGACATCTTAACAGTCCATAAACATGGTATATTATACCTGCATTTATTTAGGATTTAATTTCTGTCAGTGTTTTGCAATCAGTAATGTTTGTATCATATCTTTTGACAGATATCTTTCTTTTTTTTAAAGTTTATTTATTTATTTATTTACTTACTTATTTGGGACACAGAGAGAGGCAGAGACACAGGCAGAGGGAGAAGCAGACTCCCTGCAGGGAGCTTGATGCGGGACTTGATCCCAGGACCCCGGGATCACGCCCTGAGACAAAGGCAGATGCTCAACCACTGAGCGACCCAGGTGCTCCTTGATAGATTTATTTCTAGGTATTTGAGGACTTTGGGTGCTAATATGCTTGTCTATTTTATGTGTCATTTTAAGTTTATTTTCTGAAATACAGTTAAGTTTTGTAGTCATTGTGTCCCGTGACCTTATTACGTTCACTTATTAATTCAAATGATTTGTCAATAGATTCTTTTAGATTTTAAGTTTACACAACCATTTAACTTGTTAAAGTTAAGTAAAGACAGTGTTATTTCTTCCTTTCTGATCATTACGCTTTTTCTTTTTCTCCTTTAGTGCATTGGCTTGAGCATCCAATACCATGTTAAAAATATATGGTAGGGCAGCCGGGGTGGCTCATCGGTTTAGCGCAGCCTTCAGCCCAGGGCGTGACCCTGGGGCCCTGGGATCGAGTCCCACGTCGGGCTCCCTACATGGAGGCTGCTTCTCCCTCTGCCTGTGTCTCTGCCTCTCTCTCTCTTTCTCTCTCCGTCTCTCATGAATAAATAAAAAGTATTTAAAAAAATACATGGTAATAGCAGATATGTCCTTGTTTCATTCCTGATGTCGGGGGAAACATTCAATAATTTATGTTAAGTATAATGTAAGCTATATTCAGAGATGCCCTTTATCAATTCCCACTATTCCTACTTTTCTTTTTTTTTTTTTTTTTTTAATTTTTTTTTATTTTATTTTATTTATTTATGATAGGCACACAGGGAGAGAGAGAGAGGCAGAGACACAGGCAGAGGGAGAAGCAGGCTCCATGCACCGGGAGCCCGACGTGGGATTCGATCCCGGGTCTCCAGGATCGCGCCCTGGGCCAAAGGCAGGCGCCAAACCGCTGCGCCACCCAGGGATCCCTATTCCTACTTTTCTGAGAGTTTTTATCATAAGGGGATGTTGAATTTTACCAAATTCTTTTTTGGCAACTACCAAGCTGATCCTGTGATTTTTCTTTTTTTTCTTTCTGTTACTCTGATGAATTACAGTAGGCTTCCACCCTTCCATTTGTAGAAAAGCCCTGCTTAATCATAATTATCCTTTTTTATGTACCACTTGATTCAATTTTTGCATTTAGGCTATAACAGGTTGATAAATATGCCTCCTAAAGTAACATTTTTTTTTTTTCCTTCTCATTACAATTACTTTAGAAAACAAGAAATTGGGATGCCTTGGTGGCTCAGTGGTTGAGCCTTTGGCTCAGGGCGTGATCCTGGTCCAGGATCGAGTCCCACATCGGGCTCCCTGGGAGGAGCCTGCTTCTCCCTCTGTATCTCTCTCTGCCTCTGTGCCTATCATGAATAAATAATTAAAAAAAAAAAAGAAAACAAGAAATTATATGATCCCAAGCATGCTCTTGGATGTTTACTTTGTAAGTGTGCAGGATGTAGAATGGATTAGTGCAAGGTGAAGAAGATTAGGGGTCAACTGGAGTATTGAGAGCTTGGACCAGTTTGGTACCAGCGGAAACGAAAAGGAAGGAGAGACTCTGCAGCGTTTAGCTCCTGATTAGACGGAAGGGGAGCATCATGAAATAGAGCAGCTGGGAGAACCTGACGTCAGCTTGGAGAAGAGCAGAAATAATGAGTTGACTCGGGTTACAATCTTTTTACCGTCCTCGTAATGATCAATCACCATCATCAGGATTCCTACAAAGGGATAACCGCGGTTTAAGAACTCGCCAGTGCACGCCATTCCATAACCGGCTGGCATGTTAATGCATTTAATTACAAAGTTTCCTGACGTTGCTTTGTAGCTAGAAAAAAAAAAAAAAGAAAATCCCGTTCACCATCAGACACCGTAATTCACCGTACATCCGCTGAGCACCCCGCGATGGGATCCCTAGGCCGGGCCGGGCCGGCCAGCACGGGGGTACACGCTGCGCAGTTCCCGCCGTCGACCACCAGGGGGCGAGCGGGAGCGCACGTCGCCCGCGTCCCCTCTCCCCTCCCCCCCCTGCGGCCTCCGCCCCGCGGCCCAGCTCCCGGGAGCGCGCACGCCCCGGAGCCCACGCGGACCGCGGGAGCTGCAGCCGCGCGCTCGGCCGGGGCGCGGGGGCCTCGGGGGACCCAGGCCATGTGGAAGCTGCTGCCCGCCGCGGGCCCGGCCCGAGGTGAGGGCGGGGGAAGGGCCCGGCCCGCCGTCCCGGGAGCAGCCGGCTGCGCGGGGCCGAGGCTGCGGGCCGGGGCTTCCGGTCCCGGTGTCCGCCTTCCGGGGCCGCGGGGCCGCCGCGTCCGTCCGGCGTGCGGGGGGGGGGGGGCGCCGCGTTCCGGGGCCGCTTCCCGGCGCGCAGGCCCCGCAGAGCCGAGTGCTGGCCGGCCGCCGCCGCGTCCCCGGGGCGCTCTCCGGTGCGACCTCCAGGGCCTCCCCTGGTGGGTCCCTCCGGTGCCTCCTCAGGGGCGTCCTCCAAGGGCGTCCCCCGGTGCCTCCTCCGGGGCGTCCCTCCGGTGTCTCCTCCGGTACTTCCCCCGGGGCGTCCCCCGGTGCATCCCTCGGTGCGTCCCCCGCGGCGTCCCTCGGTGCGTCCTCCGGTGCGTCCCCCCTGGGCGTCCTTCCGGGCGTCCTCCGGTGCCTCCCCCGTTGCTTCCCCCTGGACGTCCTCCGGTGCATCCCCCCTGGACGTCCTCCGGTGCCTCCCCCGGTACCTCCCCTGGGGCGTCCCCCCTGGCCGTCCTCCGGTACCTCCCCCGGGGCGTCCTCCGGTGCGTCCCCCGGTGCGTCCTCCGGTGCCTCCCCCGGTACCTCCCCCGGGGCGTCCCTCGGTTGCGTCCTCCGTCCTCCGGTGCGTCCTCCGGTGCGTCCTCCGGTGCCTCCCCTGTTGCTTCCCCCTGGACGTCCTCCGGTGCATCCCCCCTGGACGTCCTCCGGTGCCTCCCCCGGTACCTCCCCTGGGGCGTCCCCCCTGGCCGTCCTCCGGTACCTCCCCCGGGGCGTCCCTCGATGCGTCCCCCCTGGGCGTCCTCCGGTGCGTCCCCCGGTGCGTCCTCCGGTGCCTCCCCCGGTACCTCCCCCGGGGCGTCCCTCGATGCGTCCCCCCTGGGCGTCCTCCGGTGCGTCCCCCGGTGCGTCCTCCGGTGCCTCCCCCGGTACCTCCCCCGGGGCGTCCCTCGGTTGCGTCCTCCGTCCTCCGGTGCGTCCTCCGGTGCCTCCCCCGATACCTCCCCCGGGGCGTCCCCCGGTGCTTCAGGCTTCGGGCGAGACGCCGGGAAGGAGTCCCCGGGGCCGGGCGGCGGGCGCCTGCGTGGTGCGCACCTTGCCCAACTCGGCGAGAAGCCGGAGACCGTTGGCTGAACGGCGGCCCCGGGGACCCCTGCGAGCGCCGGCGGGGGCAGGGCCGGGAGCCGGTGGGAGCCGGAGCGGCCGCCCCGTGGCTGCCTCGGCCCCGGCACCTGTCGGCACCTGCCGGCACCTGCCGCAGTGGGAAGCACCCTCTGCCCTCCGTGGCCCGCCTTCTTGACTTTTGGGGGGTTGAGAACTCTCAGCAGCATTTAGTGGACCCCGTGGGCCCACTCCTCTGGGGGGAAAAATAAGTAAACTGAGGCACGATTTTCCCCCTTGAAACAGCCCCCCTCTAGGCCGCGAGTTTCTGATGGACGAAAGCCCGGGTCCGAGCGTGGCTTGCCTTCGCGGGCCCGGGTTACCTGCCCGCATGACCCCGCCACTCCAGGGATGGACTCCCAGGCGCCCCCGCCAGCTTCTGCTAGTCTCCCACTAACTCGCTGTTAGACAATTTGTGATTTTCAACGTGTTTTTGAGCTAATGAGACTTGCCCACTTGTTTGAAACGCTCCCTTTAACATAAACGCGCAGCTCCCCCAAAATGCACACTTTAAATCAGGTCCGAACTTGCTTTGCATGGACCTGCCTGTGGTGCTTTGCTCCTGACTTCCTGAGTGGCGTGCATTCTCATTCCTGTGACTTTACGGCGTCCTGTACCACCTGGTAGGGGAAGTTTCTGTAAACTGCAAATGTTTCTTTACAGTTTTTTGCATCATATTTTCCTAATGGGTTTTTGGATCTGTTTAGGGGAGGTGGGGGGGGGGGCAGAGGGACATATCCAATCCCAAGCAGACTCCCCTGCTGAGCACCCAGCCCAACATGGGGCTGGGTCTCAGGACCTGGAGATCGCGACTCCCGAGATCAGCACCTGGAGATCCAGACCCCCAAGATCAAGACCCGGAGATTGGGACACCGAGATCAGCACCTGGATATTGGGACCCCCGAGATCAGTACCTGGAGATCACGACCCCCGAGATCAGCACCTGGAGATCCGGACCCCCAAGATCAGCACCTGGTGATTGGGACCCCGGAGATCAGGACCCGAGGTCAAGATCCGGAGATCAGGACCCCCAAGATCAGCACCTGGAGATCCAGACCCCCGAGATCAAGACCCGGAGATTGGGACACCGAGATCAGCACCTGGAGATTGGGACCCCGGAGATCGGGGCCCCTCGAGATCGGCATCTGGAGATCAGGACCTGAGATCAAGACTCAGAGATCGGGACTCTCAGATCAGCACCTGGAGATGGGGACCCCCAAGATCAGCACCTGTAGATCGGGACCCGGAGATCAGGACCCCCTGAGATCAAGACCCGGAGATCGGGGACCCCCAAGATCAGGACCCGGAGATAGTGACCCCGAGATCAGCACCTGGAGATCGGGACCCCCGAGATCAGGACCTGAGAGGAAACCAAGAGTCAAATGCTTAAGGAACAGAGCCAGTCACCTCTGACACTTTTCAGTAGTTATCTCTTGAAAACGCTGTAGTTTTCCATCTAGTTAAGTAATCATTTGCATCTTTCAGCGAGGCTTTACTAGAAAGCACAAGTTTGATGTCTATAAAGTTGGTTACTAACATTTAAGCGCAAAATAAAAGTATGTTAAATATTTGCTGTATATATATGTATACATGTGTGTATCTATACATTTACCTTTTTTTTTATATATAATTTTCAGAACCATTCAGACTTTTGACTGGTGTTGAATACATTGTTGGAAGGAAAAACTGTAGCATTCTAATCGAAGGCGATCAGTCAATCAGTCGAAGTCATGCTGCCTTAACTGCTAACTTTTCTGTAACCAACCTGGTACGTTACTCATTTTATTTCACTAGTTTAAGTAAGGGGGTCAAAATTACAAGATTATTTGGGTGTGTAAGAGTTTGTAGGATTTTGAATTCCATAATTAGTTTTTTTTTTAATGTTAAAATGACTTAATTTTGGTAGCGGTAACAGTGGTGCGTGTGTGTGTTTCGATATTTGAAGTTTCTATTCCAGTGTTTTACTCTATTGTAGTGATTTAGAAGCTCAAAGGAAGTAGAGCATATTTATACTTATTTAATGAACATTAAGTGTTTGTTGTGTCCTGCTTTAAAGAGTTTGTGTAGCCATGTGAACACAGGCATTTCCCACATAATGTAGGTTTTCACAGTGGGAATTGGTTTATTTTATTAGGAAAAGCAGTTGTTGCTTATGTCCCACAGTTCTTTTGAGTTTGTTTTGGTTGGTTAGCTTTAATCACAACGGTGGGTGGTAAATGTTATATAAACGGCTGTGCACCTGATAATGCTGGTGATAATAAGAAAAGCCATTATTTTGAGCAAACACTACATATCAACAGATGCTGCATCTGTTCAGTAATATTTAGGTTTTGTGTCTTTATTTTTCTAGTTGTAAAGGATTATTGTTGAAATTCCTAAAGGAAAAATAAAATTGTTACTGCAAGTCAGACATTCTAAGCCTTTTCTCATTGGACCATTTTTTACTGTGTTATTTTGATAATGTAAAAAAAAAAAAAAACTTAGGGACGAAGCTGTCATGTGTGAAACAGACTACACAAAGGCAAAGAATTCTCAAATGTGTGAAATTGAGGGGTCATTCTACCCTGACTGACAAAAATAAAGAAAATGCTTGTTCTGAGAGGAATGATCCTGGAATTCAGACATTTGCCATTAATTTCTAGTTGACTGATGATTCTGTGTAGGCAACCGAAACTAATTATTGCCTTCTATGGTGGGCGGTTAGCCATCTATCAATTACCTAGTCAAAAAGTTACTAGCTTTTTATTTTGAAACCTTTTCGCTTGGGAAACTGTATTTACCGCGTGGTAAAAGACTTAAATGTATTGATTGTTTCAGAGTCAAACAGATGAAATTCCTATATTGACGTTAAAAGATAATTCTAAGTATGGTACCTTTGTTAATGAGGAAAGAATGCAGCATGGCCTTTCTCAAGTTTTGAAGACAGGGGATAGGGTTACTTTTGGAGTATTTGAAAGTAAATTCAGGTAAGAACTTTTTAAATTCCTATTAAAAATGGACAGCTTTCTTTTGCACAGCCCAAATTTTAAAGGACCTGATATTTATGGATAATGAATTTAAAACCATTTAATTTAGTTCCTACTTAGCATATTAGTGAACTTTGCATCACATGTGGGTGGTGCATTTTGTCAATCACAGGTAGTGATTAAGAGGGAATAAGAGTTTGAGTGGTCTCCAAGAACCTGATGGGAGCTACATTTGTTTAATTCTACATAAGTGAACGTATAATGTTAACTTCAGTCATTGGCTTTTTTTCTTAAGTGCAACTCAAGACTTAGGAAGTGATAATTTCATAAATTAGAAAGGGTAATAATACATAAGAATTAAAATAACAGCATGTGATGTGAACTTGAAGTTTAAAGTACTATAAGATGCCATCTCTGGAGCTGTGATAGTATAATTTTATGTAACTTGTTCTCATTTACAGAGTAGAATATGAGCCTTTGGTTGCATGCTCTTCTTGTTTAGATGTTTCTGGGAAAACTGCTTTAAATCAAGCTATTTTGCAACTTGGAGGACTTACTGTAAACAATTGGACAGAAGAATGTACTCATCTTGTCATGATATCAGTCAAAGTTACCATTAAAGTAGGTTAAATGCCTTGTTATTATGTTAAAATAAGTTTTGTGAATCTAAGCTTACTCACCAGCTATACACAGACATTGTTAAGGCCATTTATTTTAAAACTATCAGAGCTGTTAGATGTGGGTTTATATATGTCACATTAAATGTATACCATTTAGGCTAGAATTACTTTTCAGATAACCTGTTTATTATTTGAGACAAGCAAAAACATGTAAGATTATATCTCAGATTTTGATTTAGCATTTTAAAGATGATTTATGTTCTATTTTCACCAATAAGTTTACTACAGTGTGCAGTTGGTATCTTCAGTCTAAAAACGAAGTGACTGAGGTTGACCGCCAGTCTCAGAGTTAGCATCTCTAGTCCCTTCTATCAAGTTGTCTTCCTCCAGTTCATCTCATGGTCTCATCCTCTCTTACTTAGTCTCTTTTTGGTATAATGCCCTGATCACAAAGACTCTTTAAGTTCTTACAGTTTAATGTGTCTTTGCCATCCAGAGATACGTAGATATCTACCATTAGAAGATGCTGACTCTTCATTAAAACTGATATATTTTGGTATGTTTTCAGATTTTGCATCTTCATCAGATTTGGTTATATCCAAAGCTAATTGAAGAATGACATTGGGAGGTGATTCATCTCCTTTAAACAGGTTGACTGTAGATAGGTGAGATTGTTTTAAGTTAACGTCTATAGTGATAAGCAACAAATATTTAGATTCCTTTATTAGATGATACAGAAATCCTTTAATATCTAATAAGAATATGTGTATTATAGCTAAACAGGTATCCTAGAGAAAGGCTTGATTGAACCTCAAGTTAAACTTGTATGTTGGAGGGGTTATCTCTGATAAGGATCAGGTTCTTTCTTTGCAAGGTTATGAAATTTATAAATTCAGAGTGATTGGCCTCCTGAGTACTAATTTATGCTAATAAACCAAAACGTCTATTTATTAGTTTATATTAGGGATGCACCTTTATAGCAACCACATATTTATATGTGGACTCCAACACAATCCCCTTAAAGATACTAAAGTACCTGAGAAGTAAAATTTAAGTAATTATGAGCTTGCTGGGTGAATATGAAATAAGAGCAAAGGCAGTTAGATGGTCTCCAGAGATACTTTACTGAGTCGTGACAGACCTGGAACTGGTACCCATTCACCAGAGTATACACTATTCCAGTGACTGGGAGACAAATGGCGCAGGTATTAGAGTCACTGGATATATACTGACAACATTGCAGAGCAGTCCTTTTTCAGTGTATTTGATCAGTCGTGTGCCAAAAAAGAAAGCCTAGTTATTATATTATTTTTTTGGTTAATTTCCCAAAAGTACGGGTTACTTTATATTTTTTAAATCATTAAGTGTTAGAACCAAAAAGAAACCTAAGGAATATTCAGTTCCATTTTTATTTTTTGAAGAGGAAACTGAGTCATGGAGTAATTAAATCCATTACCCAAGATCCCAGGTATTGAAGCTTGCTCAGTCCGTTGTTAAATTCCACATCACTGCTTCCTGCCAGACGCCAGTTACTTCACTCACGTTTGAGGTTGGTGTATTCAGATTCCAGTCTTGAGACACCTTAGGTTGTTTGCTTGTATTTAAGTAATACTCCATGTTATTAGAAGCATACTTAGAGATTCTTCAGTTGGGTTATTTCCATAGATTATGCTGAATCTTTATTTTCATCTCCAGTGGTGGTATTTTCTAATCTTTTTCAGATTTTGTGGTGTATTTTATTTGCTGTTTATAGCTTAGTTCACTTGTTACTTGAAGTTTCTCCACCCTCACCCCCATAGTCTCTTTGTACTTCTTTTGAGCTTTTACTCCACCTCAAGTAGTTATTCTTTTATTTACTTTCTTAAAAATACTTTATTCCATACTTACAATCTGTTCAAAAGACATTTAGGCAGCAAAGATCTTACAGCTCACGTTTTTCTCTTTTTAACATGTTAAGAACTCTTAAATTGGAATACACTTTAAAATGGGCTTATGTTACCTTGTTCTGCCCTCCCCAAAGCAATTTTTAAATTAATATTGTAATTGGTGGTTCCTTAAAATTAAGTGATTATATAGCAATGTGTATACTGAAACTAAACAGTGACCAAATACTGACTTCTATTTTATGGTTTGTGGCTCCTTTATAAATTTAGAGAGATGAAAGGAAAAATGTCCCTTTATAGTCTCTAACTTAAAACTTTTCTTTAAAGAAAAGCTAGCAATGAGTATTTATATTCACATATGTTTTTCTTCTTTCCAGACAATATGTGCACTCATTTGTGGACGTCCAATTGTAAAGCCAGAATATTTTACTGAACTTCTTAAAGCAGTTAAGGCCAATAAGCAGCCTCCACAAATTGAAAGGTATATCCTGTATTTTTTTTTTAACATACCAATTTATTAGGATATAATAAAGGATACTAACCAACAGCCAGATGAAGGATGCGCAAGGCAAGGTATGGGGAAAAGGCAAGGAGCTTCATGTTCTCTCCAGGCAGGCCCCTCTCCCTGCACCTCCATGTGTTCACCAACTGGGAAGCTCCTATATCATGTATTTTAAATATTATTATGACATACAGAATGTGTGATAGCACTGATTTTATTTAGGTCGATTCCCTCTTTAACGACTGTTTCAAGATGTGGTGTTCAGTTTAACAAACTGAGCCCCCAGATGCCCCCATATCTGCCAATATTTAAACAAAAAAAGTTGAAGGACCGCACATGGCGCAGAGGTACCATCCAAAGGCCACATGTCCCATGTTGAGTATCATGCAATCAGGACCTCTGGAATTGTGTGATGCAGCCTTCCTGTTCTGGAGTCATGTAGTCTCGGTCCAGAATATCAATAGCGCTGTGGCCTTGGGAATGGAGTTTATTTCTTTTGAGCATCAGTTACCGCATTTGAAAAATGAGACTAACACCTGTCCTGTGTTTTAAGTACTTAGTAGTATTAGTAATTTTAAGTAATAGAGTGTACAAGTTCTGAGCATTTTGCTTGGCACTGTATTAGGTGCTTGTTAAAAGAAATGCTGCTAATTGCAATAATACCAGGTAAGATTCAAGTAGCTTTATGATGATGATGGTGGTGATGATGATTTTAGATGCTCTGCTAAATTTGTGAATGACCAGACTAAGGGATCTTAGCTGCTATATATAGTATTTGTGATGCTTTGAAGTAATCTATGGTTGAGGAGGAAGATGTTTGAATTTTTATTTTCAGATTTAGTCAACTTAGCACAAGAACATGCTTGTTTAAAATAATACCAATAAGTTACAGTCTATATGACATAATAGGTAGACTGTGTGTTTATAAGCTCATCTTAATCTCTATATGACAGGGACGCCTGGGTGGCTCAGCGGTTGGGCATCTGCCTTTGGGTGTGGTCCTGGTCCCAGGATCGAGTCCCGTATCGGGCTCCCTCCAGGGAGCCTGCTTCTCCCTCTGCCTGTGTCTGCCTCTCTCTCTCTCTGTGTCTCTCATGAATGAATAAATAAAATCTTAAAAAAAAAAATCTCGATAGGACAACTTTGAATATCTGAGTGTTTAAAAATCTAAAGTGTCATGCAAGTTAAGAATCTTATTAATAGTTGTAAAATGCCATTAGTTGTCATAAACTATTTTGCCCAATGCTGGTTTTTTTTTTTTTTTTTTTTGAGGGGTGGGTGGGTACTCTTTATGCCTAATAATTTGTGTCTGCTTTTAAAAGTAACTGAAATTTTTCTTCTTGGGGAGGTTTATTTTTTTTTCATTTGGGAGGTTTTCTTCTTGTGAAGCCTATTCATGGTTTTCCCAATAAACAATAAGTAATGATCCTTGATACAAATAAGTGATTATTAATCCTATATTACTCGGGAGTGGAGGTGTCTGATAGGTTTTACCACTCGTGATGTATGTGTTATGGTCTTGAAGTTTTTAGAATTAGTCATTGATGTCTACTTATTGTTCAGATTCTCAGGTGTATTTAACCTGGGTCTATTTTTGACTTTAGGTTTAGCATAAGTTTTTCTGGCTTCAATTTATGACTATATTAACTTAGATGACTACAATAAAACATCTCTACTGTAAGATTGTTTAGTAACTTCTAATTCAGTCTTAGCCATGAAAAGCATTTACACTAGCTCATGCTTGATCATGTCAACTGATAATTATATTTTAATATTTTTTTAAAGTAAGTATATTTTTGCCTTGATAGATTCATATGCTTATTGGAATCCATTTTGATATCCTTGTTGTCTTATTTGACTATATAACTATATAAGTTCAACTATCAAATAGAAAAAGGATTAAATTTAAATTAGTAGGGTGGGTTATGAAAGGTTTATGAAACAAATTGTGGTGGCTCCTTAACAAAATGTAACTACCTCTTCTTTTAGTTCTGAAAAAGCATTATCAGTGTATTTAAAATAAAAAGGATGTTTTTAACCTAAAAAAAGTATAATTCTATTTAGTGCAATTGTGTCTTCATCTTTGCACTGTTACCAAAGGACAGGTTAAGACAGAGTTTAGCATGATTTGTGAGATCTCATTTGCCTATCCTGTCATCAGAATACCAATATAGATGAAGTCATTTTTAGAAGACTCCATTTCAAAGTATTTATTTTGGTAATTTATACTTTATTAAAGGAATTTCATTAAAATACTGTAGATTTTCTGGATGTAAAGAAATGATCCCTTAAAAAAGAAAAGGAGTTAACCTTTTATTTGAATTTTTGTAGTCTTATTTTATGGAGTGCTGTTTAAACTACTGAATTTCAAATAACAAGCATCATTGCTGGGAAAAAACTGTTGGGAGAAACTTAGTCTTTGCGTTCATAGACAACTTGTCAAATGTGCCAAGAATGCTAGGCCCTTACTACCTTGAATACCTAGGCCATTTCTCGTGGTTTGTAGTGAGAAGCCTTGAGGGAAGAGTTAGTGTCCTTTTTGGGACAAAGAATAGGCCTGCTTATAGCTTGCTGTGAAACTCCTGGATTCTCAAGTTCATTGTTCCTCTCTCCTGTAACACAGCCTGCTGTATGTGCCTTCTATATCATCCCCACAGAACTTGGTCCGGGAGGAGATCGACTACAAATATGCTGAGGCTTGCCACTCACTTTGTCTCTGACGCAGGAGTCTTGTGTCTTCTGCCCACATCCAAGAAACAGGAATAGGCTAACTTATTGGCTTGAAATCAGATATCAGACCCAAGAGAAACATTAGCCTGAAACAATCTTAGTTTTTGGAGTTGACTGTATATAATCAATCAAAATTCAAGGCAAAGAAATGTAACATATAGCAGTTCTTTTCTTGGAGATAACCTTACATATACAGGTTGTGGATGTCAATGTAATTGGGCCTTTTAGAGATCAACGAAAGGAAATGCTATAGTAAGTTCTTATATGAATCATGAACATATGCCTGTAGGAGTGATGAAATAAATAGCTGTTCAGATGTTGGACAAATGAATATTGTGGCTTGAAATACAGTTTCCATTGCCAGAATTATACATAAGTTGAGAAGAATTCTGTATTTGGAAAATCTTGGGACAGAAATTAAGATGATGTGCTTTGAGTTTGATGAAATTTATTGAAGAAGATATAAAGAATTTAAATAAAGTCATAGGGGATCCCTGGATGGCTCAGCAGTTTAGCACCTGCCTTCGGCCCAGGGCGTGATCCTGGGGTCCCGGGATCAAGTCCCACATCAGACTCCCTGGATGGAGCCTGCTTCTCCCTCTGCCTGTGTCTCTGCCTCTCTCTCTCTCTCTCTCTCTCTCTCTCTCTGTGTGTATCATGAATAAATAAATAAAATCTTTAAAAAAAGTCATAAAATGTACATAAGAAAAGTCAGCTATTTCTAGATTAAAATTTTAGAGAATTTGTGAATTATATGTACTAGTTGCTATATAATAAAACATTATTTGCAGCTCAAAGTTTCTGTAGAAGCATGCCAAAATGTTTCAATTTTTTCATTATAGAAATTAGAAATTATATTTGTGGTAGCCTAGTATTTAGGCATTGTACCTCTGACCTTGGTCTCTGCCAAGTTAATTGACTCTTTTCCAAATTTTTAACTAGCTATTAAGTAACTGGAGCCTCAGAAATGCTTTAAAACTTGTAGAACATATTGCTTCAGAAATACTGATTTTTAGTGATGTTTTCCTCACTTTTATTATTTCTTTTCTTGTTCTCCTCCTTATACTATTAAGGAAAAAAGGCTTATCTAAGTATATAAAGTTCAGAACATAGCATGCTACTTATCACTGTATAATCAATGATTTCATATATCATGTGTGTGATCTCACAAATCATATCTGACTCCAACATTTGGTTAGGTTCTTCACAGTACAGTGATGTTTTTTTTTTTGTTTTTTGTTTTGCAAGATCAGTCTTACTAGTCTTAACTGAATGGCTCAAATTTACCACTGTTTTTAAAAGAAAAGCAAAATATATTTTTTTAGTCCCAGAATTTTAATGCTCAAATCTGCATATTGAGGGAATAAAGAGATGTTTATACTTTCATCTACTTTTAATAGATGAATTTTTAATTTCTATTTTGTACAATCAAATATTTCTGAGTGCCTACCATGAATTAGGCAAGATAGACCTGAGGATACAGTGATGAGCCAAAAAGCATTACAGTTTCTGTCCTCATGGCACTTGGTAGAAAAGCCAAATACTAAAAATTACACACATTAAAGTTAGAACTCTGGTAGTACCATCAAGGAAAACTAACGGTGTATTCTCCTCTATCTGTAGGAACCTGGTTCAAGGTTTAACAAAATGTTCAGTCTTCATTGAACTAAACTAGAGTTGACTGTTCTCTGGGCATAGTAAACTATTATTTGTGACAAAATTAAAAATGACTATTTTTAAGTGGTGTAGATAATTTAAAGATCATGTTCCGTTGTCACTGGAAGGCAGTAAGACTCCCATCTACTCAGCTATATGTACGTGTTAAACACACATCATTTTTTTTTTTTTTTTGCTTAGAACTGGTTACATCATCCAGTGTTATAGTACTATGTACACCAATTCATAAACTAGCCATTTGTAAGTGAAGTGATGCTTGCATTTCACACTGATAGAAGTGTGAAATATTGGAGAATTCTTGTCAAAAGGGAGAGAATAAAAGGCATTCAAAGAGATAACTAAAAATTTATCCGACGTATGAATTAGATATATTTACTAATTTTCTAGCATGAACTTTTCTTATTATAGATTTAACTTTAATGGTTAAAATAGTTTCTACTATCCTCTGTGTCTTTAAAAGAAAATAAACAGAATTGTAAAGTCAGTTATTTAGAAAATCAGATAACACAGTGGGCTGCATTTCACCCTATTGGCTAAGTCAGCTGTTTCCTGCAGATAACTCATTTACTTGAGATTACAAGTTCTAGGAATCACTGTCTTAGAATAGATGTACAATATCCACTGTAGAATGTTAAAACACGTGCATTTGTGGTTTAATCAGTTATCAAAACTTTTTAAAAATGTAATTGCTTAATCACAACTCAGCTAACTTTGTGAAATATGTATGCTGCCAAGAGAAATCTGAGGGGAAAAAAAAATGTAAGGAAGTTAGTTCTAAAATGTGGGATGGTGATCCTCATGACCAAAATATTTTTACCATATTGGGTGTTGTTCTCTGTAGATGGTTAACTCTTGATTGTTTAGGGACTAGTAGTCTAGGTTGTGAATTTCCCGTCCTACATTGTCTTCTCATCATCACTGTGATATATTAGTAATTTTTTAAATTAAAGTTTTTAGAGCAATTTTAGGTTCATACCAAAATCGAGAGGAAGTTATAGAAGCTTCCCATTTACCTCCTGTTTGCACACATGCAGCCCCCCCCCCACCCCAGTTAGGGGTTTCCCCCATCAAAGTGTCATGAGCCTACACTGACCTCATAATCACCCAAAGTCCATAGTATACATTAGAGTTTACTCCTGGTGTTGTACATTCCGTGGCTTTGGATAAAAACATAATACATATATCCATCATAGTATCATACCAAGTATTTTCACTGCACTGAAAACCCTCTGTACCCTATTTATTGTTCCCACTCCCCGCAACTCCCAGCCACAACTGAACTTTCACTATTTCCATAGTTTTGCCTTTTCCAGAATTTCATACAGTTGAATTAAATAGTAGGTAGCCTTTTCAGAATGGCTTTTTTCACTTAGTAACTTGCATTTAAAATTCTCAATATTTTTCATGACTTGGTAGCTCGTTTCTTTTTAGCACTGAATAATATTCCATTGTTTGAATGTACTACGGTTTATCCATTCGCTTACCAAAGGACATTTCCGTTGCTTCCACCTTATGACAGTTAAGAATAAAGCTGCTATTCACATCCATGTGCAGGTTTTAGTATGGACATAACTTTTTCAGCTCTTTTGGATAAATACCAGGGAGTGCATCATACAGTAAGAATGTGTTTAGTTTTGTGAGAAAGTGCCAAACTGTCTTCCAAAATGGCTTTATCGTTTTACATTCTCACCAGCAATGAATGAAAAGTTCTTATCACTTCACATTCTCACAAGCTTTGGTGGTGTTTGTGTCGTGGATTTTGGCCATTCTTATATATGTGTAACAGTGTCTAAGTGTTCTAATTTACATTTTTCTGATAACATGATATTGAACATCTGCTTATTTGCTATCTGTACATGTCTTTGGTGAGATAGCTGTTAAGATTTTGGCCCCTTTAAAAAAAATTCTGTATGTAAATTCAATTTAGATAACGTATGGTGTATTATTACTTTTGGGGGTTGAAGTTAGTGATGCATCAGCTGCATATAACGCCCAGTGCTCATTCCATCAAGTGTCCTTAATGCTCATCACTCAATTACCCCATCCCCCCACCCATCTCCCCTCCAGCAGCCCTGTTTCGTATACTTGAGTCTTTTATGATTTGCCTCTCTCTCTGTTTTTATCTTATTTTTCCTTCCCTTCCCCTAAGTTCATCTGTTTTCTTAAATTCCACATGTGAATGAGATTATATGGTAGTTTTTCTCTGATTTATTTTACTTAGCGTAATAGTCTCTAGTTCCATCCACATTGTTACAAATGGCAAGACTTCATTTTTTGGGGTGGTTGAGTAATATTCCAGTGTGTGTGTGTGTGTGTGTGTGTGTGTGTGTGTCACATCTTTATCCATTCATCTTTCAGTGGACATCTGAGCTCTTTTCATATTTTAGCTATTAGGGACATTGCTGCTCTAAATATTGGGGGGTTCATGTGTCCCTTCAAGTTACTATTTTTGTATCCCTTGGATAAATACCTAGTAGTGTAATTGTGGGTTGTAGGGCAATTCTGTTTTTAACTTTTTGAGAAATTCTGTACTTTTTCCAGACTGGCCATACCAACTAACAGTGTAAGAGAGTTTCCCATTCTCTGTATCCTTACCAAAATCCGTTGTTTCCTGACTTGTTAATTTTCGCCATTCTGATCAGTGTGAGGTAATATCATTGTGGTTTTGATTTGTGTTTCCCTGAAGAGGAGTGATGTGTCTGTTAGGCATTTGTATGTTTTCTTGCAGAAATGTCTGTTCATGTCCTCTGCCCATTTCTTGACTGGATTTTTTAGTTTTGGGGTATTGAGTTTGATAAGTTCTTTATAGATTTTGGATATTAGCCATTTATCTGATAATTGCAAATATCTTCTCCTATTCCATGGGTTGCTTTTAGTTTTGTTGTTTCCTTTGATGTGCAAAAGCTCTTTTTCCTGATGAAGTCCTAATAGTTCATTTTTGCTTTTGTTTCCCTTGCCTCTGGAGATGTGTCTAGCAAGAAGCTGCTTCAGGATTTTGGCCCATTCTTTAATCAGGTTGTTTGTTTTCTTACTTTTGGAGAGTTCTTTGTGTATTTTGGGTAACAGTCCTTTATCAGATGTGTGTTTTGCAAATATTTTCCCCCAGTCTCTGGTACATCATCTCATTTTCTTGACATTGTCCTTCACAGAGCAGAAGTCTTAATCTTTTTTTTTTTTTTAGAAGTTTTAAATTTTAATGAAGTTTATTTAGCATATCATTTACTTCATTCATAGATCATGCCTGTTGCTGTATCTGAAAAGTCACTGCCATAGCGAAGGTCATCTAGATTTTTGTCTGTTATTTTCTAGCAGTTTTATAGTTTAGCACTTTACTTTAGGTCTGTGACCATTTTGAGTTAATTTTTGTGAAGGCTGTAAGCTCTGCGTCCAGATTCTATTTTTGCCTGTGAAGGTCCAATATCCAGTATCATCATCATTTGGTGAAAAGACTAAGCTCCATTGTACTGCCTTTGTTCCTTTGTTAAAGATCACTTGACTGTGTTTATATTAGTCTATTTCTGGGCTCTTTATTCTCTTTTGTGTGTTTTTTCATAATACCAGATTCTCTTGATTACTGTAGCTTTATAATAAATCTTGGGTAGTACTAGTACTCCAACTTTGTTCTTCCTTAATATTGTGTTGGCTGTCCTGGATCTTTTGCCTCCCCATATAAACATTAGAATCTGTCAGTTTCCACAAAATAACTTGCTGGGAGTTTTATTGGAATTACATTTAATCTATAGATCAAGTTGGGAAGAACTGACACCTTGACAATATTGAGTCTTCTTATCCATGAGCATATTTAGTAATTAGTAATTTTTACTTGAAGGTAGAGAGTTAAGCTAACAGACTGATCAAATTGTTGTAGCAAAAGATTTAATTATATAGAAAGTTGAAACTGGACTGATATGAGGCTTGAGAATTATTTGTTGATATAGTGTCTCTATTTTCTTTTTTTCCCTCATTTTTATGAGAGAGAGAAAGAATCCCAAGCAGGCTCCACACCCAGGATGGAGCCTCATGTCCCACAACCCCGAGATCCTGACCTGAGCTGAAATCAAGAGTCACATGCTTAACAAACTGACCCACGTAGGTGCCCCCAGAAGATTGTGTATGTGTGTGTTTTAAAGATTTTTATTTATTTATTCATGAGAGAGAGAGAGAGTGAGAGAGGCAGAGACACAGGCAGAGGGAGAAGCAGGCTCCACACAGGGAGCCCGATGTGGGACTTGATCCCGGGTCTCCAGGATCACGCCCTGGGCTGAAGGCAGGCACTAAATCGCTGAGCCACCCAGGGATCCCCAAGATTGTGTTTTTTAATCTCACTTTGGAAATTTTATTTAAACTGACAAAATATTTGAAGTTTTAAAATTGCCTGAGCTTTGGGATGCCTGGATGGCTCAGCAACTGAGCATCTGCTTTCAGCCCAGGGTGGGATTCTGCAGTCCCTGGATCGAGTCCCACATCGATCGGGCTCCCTGCATGGAACCTGCTTCTCCCTCTGCCTGTGTCTCTGCCTCTCTCTCTCTGTGTCTCATGAATCAATCGATCAATCAATCAATCTTAAAAAAAAATTTTTCCTGAGCTTCTCCAAAGGAATTTTTTTTCCCAAAGGGGTTTTTAATAAAACACTTAATAGTAGTTTGCAGAATTGGATGTGAACATAACACTCCTTGATTCCCAGGAAACGTAAGATGCCAATAGAAATTGATCTTTATGGACGCTGTCTCAGCCTTTTAAAATTCACGTAACTTGTTTGATTCATGTATATTAAATCATATTTTAGGATTGTCCGCTCTTGGATTATATTTTTTCAGAAAATAAGGAACAACTATGCTTTTTTATATGGCACCTGCCACCATTTTGTCTCTGAAAAAAAATGCTTTCTTTTAAAAAAATAATAATTCAGTGATGTTACAGAAATTAAACCTTCCAGTGTCTAGATAGCTATTCTATTTATAAATTTAACAGTATGCATACAAAACAGTATATAATTAGAATATACTTTTAATTTCTTTTTTAACAGTTATTACCCACCTATTGATGAACCAGCTATTGGAAATAAAAACATTGATCTGTCAGGACGACAGGAAAGAAAGCAAATCTTCAGAGGGAAAATGTTTGTATTTCTAAATGCCAAACAGGTAATGTTATGAGAAGAATTTTCCTAATGAAGACATAAACTAGATAAATTATTACTGTTATCAACTGTTAATGCATATTTTTTGAGATTTTGTATAGAAGTGAGAAGTGAAAAAACTCTCTAGGCACTAGGAGTTGTCCAGTATTCATGTATATGAGATTTTTTTGACATATGTTAATTGGCCAATTAAGTTTCTATAAATATGTGGGTTAGGGGGTGGGGACAGAAAACTGATTTACGTCTTTACTTGGTCATTTAGTAGCTGTTGAATGTCTTCAGTGTACCAAAATGGGGATTCAAGGAGCTTATGTTATAGGTGGACAGTGCAAGCAAGCCCACAGTTAGAGCATTGTTAATTATGATAAGGAAGGGCAAACAATGTAACAATCCCAGGGCTGCCAGGATACCTGGTGAAGTGGGGATTCTCTGAGTGGAAGCTCAGATTGTCTTCTAAAAAGTAGAACCAGTTCTGTTTCAACTCTACTTTTATTTTACTTCCCTAATACAAGCGAATGGATAAAAGAGATGTGATACACACACATATGTTATGGAATACTACTCAGCCATAAAAAAGAATGAAATCTTGCCATTTATAGTGATGTGGATGGAACTAGAATATAATGCTAAGTGAAATAAGTGAGTGAGAGAAAGACAAATACCATATTATTTCACTCATATGTGGAATCTAAGAAACAAAACAAATGAGCAAATAGAAGAAAAAGAGAGACAAACCATGGAACAGATTCTTAACTGTAGAGAACAAACTGATGGTTACCAGAGGGGGAGTTTGCAGGGTATGGGGGAAGTAGGTGATGGGGACTAAGGAGTGTATTTGTGATGGGCACTGGGTGATCTATGGAAGTATTGAATTATATTGTACACCTGAAACTAATATAACACCGTTAACTATACAGGAATTAAATTTAAAAGAATGAACTGAAGGAATGAATTGTGCCTATTTCATTATATTTTTTCTGTTTTTTGTTTGTTTTTTAGTATAAGAAGTTAAGTTCAGCAGTTATTTTTGGAGGAGGAGATGCTAGGTTGATAACTGAAGAAAATAAGGAAGAATATAGTTTCTTTTCAGCTCCTGGAATTTGTGTTGTTGATGTAGGAATAACAAATTCACAAACTCTAATTCCTGACTCTCAGAAAAAATGGATTCATTCAATTATGGATAAGCTGCAAAGGTACAGAATTATCTTAATTATTTTTAAAAAGGCAATTTTATATGTAACTTTTTTATTTTACTGAATTTGATATAAAAAGATATACAAGAATTACAAACATTTTGTTATATATGGTACTTGAAAATTTATGGTGCGTTAGTGTGCTAGAGGTACAGCATCCTTATCTGTGACAAAGTTCAAATGTAAGATTTTTTTCCTGAAACTGCCTACAGCTGGAATATATTTGTTCCTTGGTGATTATTACCATTAGGAATGCATATAACATTTTTCAGCCCTGTCACATAGGCTGTCATTCAAAAGCAAGAAAAAATGTCATATATCCAAGAATAGGATTTGTAGTGAGGAGACAATGTGAAAGAGCTAAACAAAGGGTTTTTGTCCTAAAGTCTTCATTGGTATTAATAATCTTAACTTTTTTGTTTTTTAAAGTTTTATTTATTCATGAAAGTGAGAGAGAGAGAGAGAGGCAGAGACACAGGCAGAAGGAGAAGCAGGCTCCCTGCAGGGAGCCTGATGCAGGACTTGATCCCAGGACCCTGAGATCACATCCTGAGCCAAAGGGAGACACTCAACCACTGAGCCACCCAGGCGTCCCTAATCTTAACATTTTTGAGGCTAACAAGTATTATAAAATGTTAGGTTTGCAGGCTGCTGACCAAATTTCTGTTCACCTACCATAAATAGGTAGAGTATTTATGTCTCAAAAGTCCAGAAAGGAGAAAAAATGAGTGGGAAATATCAGAAAGGGAGACAGAACACGAGAGACTCCTAACTCTGGGAAACGAACTAGGGGTGGTGGAAGGGGAGGTGGGCAGGGGGTGGGGGTGACTGGGTGATGGGCACTGAGGTGGGCACTTGATGGGATGAGCACTGGGTGTTATTCTATATGTTGGCAAATTGAACACCCATAAAAAATAAATTTATTAAAAAAAAATGTCCGTAGCTGTTTCCCTACAATATTCATTTTTCCTCTCCCAATAGTCTTCCTGAACATGGAGATTCCCCTTGTTTTATTTTATATATTTGCTAAAACAAAAAATAAAATTTTAGACTTCTGTCCCATAGATATTTTCCTTAATGGGGTTGTATTAACTACTACAAAGAGAAAATAAAGTAACATCTTACTTATATCCAGAATTTACTGTGGTTCTCTTACCTGTTAGGCACCGGAATATAATAGTTACGGCAGCTATGGTCCCTGCCACCACTGGAGCTTACTGTCTAGAGGGAGAGGCAGATAAAGATGAGTAAACAGATAATTACAAATATGCAAAAGGGAAGCAGAATAACAGGGAAAAGGGGAGAAATTTATTCTTAATAGAATGAAGAAAAGAAGGCCTTTTTTAGACAACATTTTACCTGTGACCGGGCTTTGAAAGAACCAAGCAAAATAAGAGCAGTGAAAGCTCCACTTACATCGTACTGTATCACGATATCATCGTGAGCAGATCCTGTTCCAGGAGTTTCATGTATATAAAGACATTCGTCCTCACACAGCTCTGTGTATTATTTACTGTTATGGTAACCACGGTGCAGCTAGGACAAAAGGGATGGAACACAGGGAGTGAGCAAGAGAGCCAGAATGTGACCCCAGGCAATCTGGTTACACAGTCTCTGCTTTTCACCCTTACATCTCACTGCCCTTCAGCATATACCATGATCACGAGGTAAGAAAGTAGCCAGAGTGCAAAGTTGATCAGAGGCTGGTGGCTTTATCGTGAGATATCATTTGGTTCTGTAGTCTTTGGCCCCATTACAACTTGTTTTTTGGGGGGAGGGCAGTCTTTGAGAAAGACTGTCACTTAACACGTATCTACTTCGTCCAAGCCACTGAAAGTCATTGGAGGTGCAGGTAGATCAAGCAAGTGGCCACTAAAGCCAGCTGTTGACTGAATTTTGGATAACACACCATTAGCATTATGTAAGAAGTATGGGTATAGGATATCAGGGGTTACAATTAAATGTCTTCTGAAGAAAATTCAAAAGTGTAAGAGGACGATGTTGCTAAGATATTTTCCCAACATCTTAGCTCAAATGTGGGAACTCTTCCTGTTAATTTATTTTCTCTTTATTTTCCTCCTTCTTTGCCTTCCCTCTCTTCATCTGTTTCACAGTTTTGCACAAAATAGGATGAATGATATTCCTTGGTTCATGATACACTGTCATCATTGAACCATAACAATACACACTAATTTTGTTCACTAGTGAAGTAGTTATTTTAAGTTATATAATAAATGTGTAAGAAGCTACTCCTAAAATGCAAGCTGGATACTAAAAAATACCTACCTCTGTGTTACCCCCAGTCTCCTCCTACATAGAATAACATTCATCTGGAATCCTTTGCTTATCATTTACTTACTTTTACATATAGTTTTATTGTTTCTTTATTTCTAAAATATGTGTGCATATGTTCTAATTGTTTTAACTTTATAACCTGGTCTTCATACTACTATGTAATCTTTGGGGATTTTTCCCACATAATGATACATTACTGATAAGAATTCATCCATTTTGTTACATGTTACTGTAATTAATTTGTTTTGATGGTAAAATATATTTCATTGTGTGAATATACCACAGTTTGTTGATTCCACATTGAAAAAAATCTTCTTTCTGGTTTTTATTATCGTAAACATTGTTACTGAGATCATTTTTGTGCATTTCCTGGTTGTACTCAATATTCTTCTTAGGGTTAGAACTACTGGGTCATAGGTTATATGAATATTCAATCTCTGGAGTTAGTATCAAACTGTTCCACCTTATAGTTCTCCCCCCACAGTATGTAAGAGATTAAATAGATGCACACTGTTTTCCACACTTGATATGGTTAGACTTTACCATTTTTGTTAATTGAATGGATATACAATCCTATCCTGTGATTTTCATTTCTATTTTTCTCATCACCGGTGATGCTTAACATTTCTTCTGATACTTCCTGGACATCTGTTTTTCTTGTTCTGAAATATCTACTCATGTCTTTTACCCAGTTTTCTATCACTATAATTGTATTTTTTTAATATGAATTTCCCGGTTTTTGTGTGAGTGTGTGTGTTAGTTTTGACCATTTTATCACATGGGTTGGTTCATAAATTTACCACCTTAGTCAAGATACAGAACAATTCCTTCACCACAAGGATCCTTCCTGTTGTTCTTTTAAAACCACACCCACTTCCCTTCCTCCCTCCCCACCTCCAACTTCCTGTCCCCGAATCCTGGCAAGCCACTAATTTATTCTCCATTTTTAAAATTTTATCTTTTAAAATAATGTTGCATAAATTAAATGATAGCATATACACTTTAGGACTGGTTTTCTCATTCAGTATAATTCCTTGGAGATTCATCTAAGTTGTGTGTATCAGTTGTTTATCCTTTTTTATTGTTGAGTAGTAGTGTATGTGTATATATGTGTACACTACAATTTGTTGAGTAATTCTTCCATTGAAGGAAATCTGCATTTTTTAAATTTTTGTTATTAATAACACCTCTGAACATGCATGTACAAGTTTCTTTGTGAATGTAAGTTTTCATTTCCTTGGGATACATGCCCAAGAGTGTAGCAATTCCTGGCTCATATGGTAGTTGTATATTTTCTACTCTCCTTTTTTATTTGTAGAAGTTCTTTATATTTCTCGATATTAATTCTTTTTTCACTTGTATGTATTGCAGAATCTTTTACCACTTTGTAATGTTTTACTGTATGATACATGAAATCATTTAATTTAATTTTATTATTATTATTTTTTAAATATTTTATTTATTTATTCATGACAGACACACACAGAGAGAGAGAGAGAGAGAGAGGCAGAGACACAGGCAGAGGAAGGAGCAGGCTCCATGCAGGGAACCCGACGTGGGACTTGATCCTGGGTCTCCAGGATCAGGCCCTGGGCCAAAGGCGGCACTAAACTGTTGGGCCACTGGGGCTGCCCTCATTTAATTTTAATATACTAAAAACTTTCTTAGTACTTTTTATATTTTAAGAAGTCTTTTTCTATTCATAGATTAAAAAGATGTTCACCTAAATTTTTTACTAATTTGTTGCTAGTGTTTTGATATTTTGTGTTTGAAGTTTGCTTTTAATCTTTTTGGAATGGATTCTATTTTACACCAAAGTTCCATATGTACATAGGACTGTTTTTGGCTTTACTGTATTCCATTGGTCAATATGTCTTTATACCAATACCACATTTACCAAATTGTCTTAATTTTTGTGACTTCAATGAAGTCCTCATATCTGGTATGGCAAATGTCTTTGCTCTTCTTTAGAAGCAACCTGTCCGTTTTTTACTCTTTATTTTTGCATATACATTTTAGAATCATCTTTTCAAAAACTCTATTGGGATTTTTATTAGGACTTCCATTGAATTCACAAATCAGTTTAGGGAAAATTAACAATTTTTATAATTTCCCTCTAAAGATCTTGAGTTCCTTTTATTAGATTTATTCTTAGGTACTACATATTCTGTGTAGATATTATATGCTGGTAGGTAGAGTATAAATAGATAATATTCTCTCTTTAATTACATTTTCTAGTTTATTGTTGCTGTATATAAATTTAGAAGACATTTAGATATTAATATTATATCCTGCCATCGTGTTAGCTTCCCCTTTTATTTTTAATGTATCTATACTCCTTTTTTTAATAAAAATCATTATAAATAATGTTTCTATCATGTTTTTTAATCCTTGTACCTCTTATGTTTCTTTTTCCCTCTGCCTTTCTGTTTTGTACCTACTGGGACGTTTAGAGCAGTGTTGTATAGAGGTCGTATTAGTAGCCACATTTATCTTACTATTGACTTCATTATTTTTTAAGATTATATTTATTAATGAGAAACACAGAGAGAGAGGCAGAAATATAGGCAGAGGGAGAAGCAGGCTCCCTTTGGGGAGCCCGATGTGCGACTTGATCCCAGGATCTCAGGATCATGACCTAAACAAAAGGCAGAGGCTCAAACACTGAGACCCCCAGGTGCCCCTCACATTGACTTTAAAAGGATATGTTTCCCCGTTTAGGATAATGCAATTATCTGTATAACATTATTGCATAATACAAAATATTTCTATTTTATGGAACCAATCTTTATAACTAATTTACATAATATATTTACAGTTTCAAAAAAGATAATATGCCAATTTTGAATTGCTTGAATTATAAATAAGTATATGTGATCACTTGATTATGATACTATAAAAATATATTTTAATATAGTACTATCATGTAACTGTATGTATAGTTGAGTTCTATTACATTAATCCAGGACATAGAAAAAACAAATGTTAAGCATTTGAGAAAGACCTTTTAAATTACTACAACCACTTAAAACATCTTTACAATAAGTATTAAAAAGAGTTTTGTAGTTTTTAAAGTCTGAGGTGTAGTTTTATGTAGCAGTGTTATTGTCTTTGTTTCATTCACATAATAGAAAACAGAAGGTAGTTCACTATAAGATTCCTTTAAGGAGAAGATTCCTTAATACATGTAAATTTGTAAAATGATTTTATTTCCTAAACTTAAAATTACAAAACATGTATAGATAGAGCTTATGATATGTCTTTATATTTTCTCCTTCCTTTCCTTTCTCTTCCCTTCTTTTTTAAGTTTTATCTTTGGATCCTAGTAATAGATTTACTTATAAAAATGTATTTTATTGCCTCATCTGGTATTACTGTTTTCTTACTCTGAAAATTATAGAATTTTAGGAATGGAAGGCTCTATCTCCTTTATTTTAGGCCTTTATTTTACAGATAAGATGACTGAATTGCTAAAGAGTGGTGGACTTGCCCAATATAACCTTGCCCCCCAGTACACCAGTGCTCCATGTATTTGTAATTTTCTCCATACCATAAAATTGTGTTATCTCTTTGGGGAAGGAATAAAAAGATTCAACTTGACATCACCTTAATAAAAGTTGTTAGTTTTAATATATTATCATACTTAAACTATTTTATTCTCTTAGGCAGGGGCTTAGACCTATTCCTGAAGCAGAAATTGGATTGGCAGTCATTTTCATGACTACAGAGAGTTACTGTAATCCTCGGAGCCAGCCTGATACAGGTAAATAAAGCATTATTTTATTGATTCTTTAGCAACTTTATTTGTAACTTTGTGATAGGCTGCGTATGCACATTGCTCTGTACTTGTCAGGGATGACCATTTTCACCATCTTTTAAAACTCATCTATTCATTCATTTATTTATTTGATAAGTATTTGTGGCTGCCTTATACTACTGGGCACTGTTTCTTTTATGACAATTTTATTTTTATTTATTTTTTATTACATTTTTTTGAAATTTAAATTCAATTTGCCAACATATAATACCCAGTGCTCATCGCATCAAGTGCTGGGCACTGTTTCTAAAGAAACTGGTAAATCAAGTAAAACAAGATCACTGTTACTGTAAACTTTATATGCTAAAGGTCAGGATTCAAACAGTTGACAGGCAAACAATCTGATAAGTTCAATTAAAGCCAAGCACCAAGAGAAAGCTAAATCAAGACCTGAAATTCTGCTTGTGCAGCTTCTGCTCAAGAAGTCTGCTGCTATCCCCTCTTAACAGCCACTGCCACACTTGAACCTTCTGTTGTCTTCCTTTCCTGAGGGCTGTTATAATGGTGTCCAGTCCTGCCTCTTCACTCATTTCTACAGTTAGCATTTCACTTTGCCAGTATAATCATCTTTTCTTTCTTTTTTTTTTAAGATTTTATTTATTTATTCATGACAGACACACAGAGAGAGAGGCAGAGACATAACAGAGGGAGAAGCTGGCTCCTCGCATGGAGCTTGATGTGGGACTCGATCCTGGAACTACAGGATCATGCTCTGAGCCGAAGGCAGACGCTCAACCGCTGAGCTACCCAGTCGTCCCTATAATCATCTTTTCTTAAAACCTTTTACTAATTCATTATTTATGAAATAAAACCCTAAGCTCCTTGTCCAGAGTTCTGAGCCCTCAACAGTTTAGCTAAAGCCTTTCTCCTCCCAGCCTCATTAAAAAAAAAAAAAAAATATATATATATATATATATATATATATATATCCCTACAGTTTATATGTGCTATTAAAATATATATCTATCTATCTCCCTACAGTTTATATGTGCTATATTATTTATAGTTTCCACACTCCTCAGTCTTGCTCATCATGGTCCCTATTCTAGAATGCCAACGCTGCTCTTCAAAATTTGACTCATTTTGCAGATACTTAACTTCTTTCATGAAATTTTTCTAAGTTGTTTTTTCTCCAGTGACTGTCCTCCAAGTCAAAATTGTTTTGTTTTCTATACTCCAGTAACTTGTTTTTGCATTCCAGTTAGACTTTTTTTCCTACTTTGAAATAGAACTAGTTGTTTCCATGTCTCTTTCAGCCACTAGATTAATTATAAGCTCCAATTAATTTTGGATTCCCTGACAGCACCAAGCATAGTACTTATTTGTAGTAGGTATGAATATATTTACTTAATTAAACTAAATTATTGACACACAGTATTATCTTGGCCGCTGTGGAGCAACAAAGTTTTATTATCCACTGTGGGAAATGTGTTTATAGGCCAAAAGGTAAGCCACCTCGTAAGGCTGAGAACAGTAAAGGTTCCATAAATAATTCATGGCCAAGGCAATTCTAAAATTTGTGTGTTTTCTTTTCTATTTTATCATTTCATATAGAAACAGGGTCATGAGTAAAAATCAACACTTTATTTACTTTTTATTTTTTATTTTTTTTTATTGGAGTTCAATTTGCCAATATAGAGCATAACACCCAGTGCTCATCCCATCAAGTGCCCCCCTCAGTGTCCATCACCCAGTCACCCCCACACCCCGCCCACCTCCACCTCCCTTTCCACCACCCCTTGTTCGTTTCCCAGAGTTAGGAGTCTCTCATGTTCTGTCTCCCTCTCTGATATTTCCCACTCATTTTTTCTCCTTTCCCCTTTATTCCCTTTCACTATTTGTTATATTCCCGAAATGAATGAGACCATATAATGTTTGTACCTCTCCGATTGATTTATTTCACTCAGCATAATACCCTCCAGTTCCATCCACGTCGAAGCAAATGGTGGGTATTTGTCGTTACTAATGGCTGAGTAATATTCCATTGTATACATAAACCACATCTTCTTTATCCATTCATCTTTCGATGGACACCGAGGCTCCTTCCACAGTTGGGCTACTGTGGACATTGCTGCTGTAAACATTGGGGTGCAGGTGTCCTGGTGTTTCACCGCATCTGTATCTTTGGGGTAAATCCCCAGCAGTGCAATTGCTGGGTCGTAGGGAAGATCTACTTTTAACTCTTTGAGGAATCTCCACACAGTTTTCCAGAGTGGCTGCACCAGTTTACATTCCCACCAACAGCACGAGAGGGTCTCCCTTTCTCCACATCCTCTCCAACATTTGTGGTTTCCTGCCTTGTTAATTTTCCCCATTCTCACTGGTGTGAGGTGGTATCTCATTGTGGTTTTGATTTGTATTTCCCTGATGGCAAGTGATGCGGAGCATTTTCTCATGTGCCTGTTGGCCATGTCTATGTCTTCCTCTGTGAGATTTCTCTTCATGTCTTTTGCCCATTTCATGATTGGATTGTTTGTTTCTTTGGTGTTGAGTTTAATAAGTTCTTTATAGATCTTGGAAACTAGCCCTTTATCTGAAACGTCATTTGCAAATATCTTCTCCCATTCTGTAGGTTGTCTTTGAGTTTTGTTGACTGTATCCTTTGCTGTGCAAAAGCTTCTTATCTTGATGAAGTCCCAATAGTTCATTTTTGCTTTTGTTTCTTTTGCCTTCGTGGATGTATCTTGCAAGAAGTTACTATGGCCAAGTTCAAAAAGGGTGTTGCCTGTGTTCTCTTCTAAGATTTTGATGGAATCTTGTCTCACATTTAGATCTTTCATCCATTTTGAGTTTATCTTTGTGTATGGTGTAAGAGAGTGGTCTAGTTTCATTCTTCTGCATGTGGATGTCCAATTTTCCTAGCACCATTTATTGAAGAGACTGTCTTTTTTCCAGTGGATAGTCCTTGCTCCTTTGTCGAATATTTGTTGACCATAAAGTGGGGGTCCACTTCTGGATTCTCTATTCTGTTCTATTGATCTCTGTGTCTGTTTTTGTGCCAGTACCACAGTGTCTTGATGACCACAGCTTTGTAGTACAACCTGAAATCTGGCATTGTGATGCCCCTGGCTCTGGTTTTCTTTTTTAATATTCCCCTGGCTATTCGGGGTCTTTTCTGATTCCACACAAATCTTAAGATAATTTGTTCCAACTCTCTGAAGAAAGTCCATGGTATTTTGATAGGGATTGCATTAAATGTGTAAATTGCCCTGGGTAACATTGACATTTTCACAATATTAATTCTTCCAATCCATGAGCATGAAATATTTTTCCATCCCTTTGTGTCTTCCTCAATTTCTTTCAGAAGTGTTCTGTAGTTTTTAGGGTATAGATCCTTTACCTGTTTGGTTAGGTTTATTCCTAGGTTTCTTCTGCTTTTAGGTGCAATTGTAAATGGGATTGACTCCTTAATTTCTCTTTGTCAGTCTCATTGTTAGTGTATAGAAATGCCACTGACTTCTGAGCATTGATTTTGTATCCTGCCACACTGCCGAATTGCTGTATGAGTTCTAGCAATCTTGGGGTGGAGTCTTTTGGGTTTTCTATGTACAGTATCATGTCATCGGCGAAGAGGGAGAGTTTGACTTCTTCTTTGCCAATTTGAATGCCTTTTATGTCTTTTTGTTGCCTGATTGCTGAGGCTAGGACTTCCAGTACTATGTTGAATAGCGGTGGTGAGAGTGGACGTCCCTGTCTTGTTCCTGATCTTAGGGGAAAGGCTCCCAGCATTTCCCCATTGAGAATGATATTTTCTGTGGGCTTTTCGTAGATGGCTTTTAAGATGTTGAGGAATGTTCCCTCTATCCCTACACTCTGAAGAGTTTTGATCAGGAATGGATGCTGTATTTTGTCAAATGCTTTCTCTGCATCTATTGAGAGGATCATATGATTCTTGGTTTTTCTCTTGCTGATATGATCAATCACATTGATTGTTTTACGAGTGTTGAACCAGCCTTGCATCCCCAGGATAAATCCCACTTGGTCATGGTGAATAATCTTCTTAATGTACTGTTAAGAAGCCAATGATCCGATTGGCTAGTATCTTGTTGAGAATTTTTGCATCTGTGTTCATCAGGGATATTGGTCTATAATTCTCCTTTTTGGTGGGGTCTTTGTCTGGTTTTGGAATTAAGGTGATGCTGGCCTCATAGAACGAGTTTGGAAGTAATCCATCTCTTTCTATCTTTCCGAACAGCTTCAGTAGAATAGGTATGGTTTCTTCTTTAAATGTTTGATAGAATTCCCCTGGGAAGCTATCTGGCCCCGGACTTTTATGTCTTGGGTGGTTTTTGATGACTGCTTCAATTTCCTCCCTGGTTATTGGCCTGTTCAGGTTTTCTATTTCTTCCTGTTCCAGTTTTGGTAGTTTGTGGTTTTCCAGGAATGCGTCCATTTCTTCTAGATTGCCTAATTTATTGGCGTATAGCTGCTCATAATATGTTTTTAAAATCGTTTGTATTTCCTTGGTGTTGGTGGTGATCTCTCCTTTCTCATTCATGATTTTATTAATTTAAGTCTTTTCTCTCTTCTTTTTAATAAGGCTGGCTAATGGTTTATCTATCTTATTAATTCTTTCAAAGAACCAACTCCTGGTTTTGTTGATCTGTTCCACAGTTATTCTGGTCTCTATTTCATTGAGTTCTGCTCGAATTTTTATTAACTTTCTTCTTCTGCTGGGTGTAGGATCTATTTGCTGTTTTTTCTCCAGCTCCTTTAGGTGCAAGGTTCGCTTTTGTATTTGAGTTCTTTCAGTTTTTGGATGGATGCTTGTATTGCGATGTATTTCCCCCTCAGGACTGCTTTTGCTGCATCCCAAAGATTTTGAAAGGTTGTATCTTCATTCTCATTAGTTTCCATGAATCTTTTTAATTCTTCTCTAATTTCCTGATTGACCCTTTCATCTCTTAGCAGGATGGTCCTTAACCTCCATGTATTTGAAATCCTCCAAACTTCTTGTTGTGATTTAGTTCTAATTTCAAAGCATTATGGTCTGAAAATATGCAGGGCCGATCCCAACCTTTTGGTATTGGTTAAGACCTGATTTGCGACCCACTATGTGGTCTGTTCTTGAGAAATTCTATGTGCACATGAGAAGAATGTGTTTTCAGTTGCATTTGTATATAAAGTTCTGTAAATATCTGTGAAATCCATCTGGTCCAGTGTATCATTTAAAGCTCTCGTTTCTTTAGAGATGTTGTGCTTAGAAGACCTGTCGATTGTAAAAAGCGCTACGTTCAAATCACCAAGTGTAAGTGTATTATTATCTAAGTATTTCTTCACTTTGGTTATTTATTGATTGATATACTTGTCAGCTCCCACATTCGGGCCATAAATATTGATGATTGTTAAGTCCTCTTGTTGGATAGATCCTTTAAGTATGATATAGTGTCCCTCTTCATCTCTCACTTCTTCAGGATGAACTTTAATTTATCTGATATAAGGATGGCTACCCCTGCTTTCTTTTGAGGGTCATTTGAATGATAAGTGGTTCTCCAACCTTTTATTTTCAGGATACAGGTGTCTTTATGTCTAAAATGAGTCTCTTGTAGACAGCAAATAGATGGGTCTTGCTTTTTTATCCAGTCTGAAACCCTGCGCCTTTTGATGGGGTCATTAAACCCATTCACGTTCAGAGTTACTATTGAAAGATACGAGTTTAGTGTCCTCATGATACCTATTCAGTCCCTGTTTTTGTGGATTGTTCCCTTGGACTTCCTCTTTCTTTTACAGAGTACTCCTTAATATTTCTTGGAGAGCTGGTTTGGTGGTCACATATTTTAGTTTCTGCCTATCTTGGAAGCTCTTCATCTCTCCTTCTATTCTGAATGAGAGCCTTGCTGGATAGAGTGTTCTTGGCTTCATGTTCTCTCCATTTAGGACCCTGAATATATCCTGCCAGCCCTTTCTGGCCTGCCAGGTCTCTGTGGAAAGGTCTGCTGTTAATCTTATATTTCTCCCCCATAAAAGTTAGAGATTTCTTGTCTCTTGCTGCTTTAAGGATCTTCTCTTTATCTTTGGAATTTGCAAGCTTCACTATTAAATGTCGAGGTGTTAAGCGGTTTTTATTGATTTTAGGGGGGAATCTCTCTATTTCCTGGATCTGAATGCCTGTTTCCCTTCCCATATTAGGAAAGTTATCAGCTATGATTTGTTCAAATACATATTCTGGACCTCTGTCCCTTTCAGTGCCCTCGGGAACCCCAATTAAACGTAGATTTTTCTTTCTGAGGCTGTCCTTTATTTCCCTTAACCTGTCCTCATGATCTTTTGTTTTTCTTTTTTTTCCTCAGTTTCCCTCTTTGCCATCAACTTGTCTTCTGTGTTACTCACTCGTTCTACCTCGTTAACCCTCGTCGTTAGGACCTCTAGCTTGGATTGCATTTCATTTAATTGATTTTTAATTTCTGCCTGATTAGATCTAAATTCTGCAGTCCTAAAGTTCCTTGAGTCCTTTATGCTTTTTTCTAGAGCCACCAGTAGCTTTATAAATGTGCTTCTGAATTGGCTTTCTGACATTGAATTTTAATCCAAATTTTGTAACTCTGTGGGAGAGAGGACTGTTTCTGATTCTTTCTTTTGAGGTGAGTTTTTTCTTCTAGTCATTTTGCTCAGTGCAGAGTGGCCAAAAACAAGTTGTATTGGGAAAAGGAGAAAAAGAGAGAAGAGAAAAAAAGAAAAGAAAAAGAAAAAAAAGAAGAAGGAAAAAAAAAAGAGAAGAAAAGGAAAAAAGGGGGGGTGAGAAGCAAACAGAAAACAAAACAAGGGGGTGTATCCTCTGATTCTATATACTGTAAATCCCTCGACTTCCCCTGGAACTTTCCAGTGCTGCTTGGTCAATAACTTGCTTTTCCCCTGTCCTTCTATCTAGCTGGTCTTCTGGGGGAGGGGCCTGCTGTTCTGATTCTCAGGTGTGAGCACCTGGGGAGCTGCTCCACCCCCTGCCTGGTGCAGGGCTCAGTGGGAGCTGTTTATCCTGTTTTTCCTGTGAGGCCACTGTAAGGCTCAGTAGGGGTTGTTTATCGTGCGAGGCACCAGAAGGAACAACAACAGTGGCGACGGCCAGTTCTCCAGCTCCGGCGTCAGCTCCTGCAGTAAGTACGGCAGCTCCCAGTCCACAGGGGCCTGGATGCTCCGGGGGCGGGGCGCTGACCTGCACAGTTCGGGCCACCTTTCCATCCAGGAAGGTTGGTGAAGCTCCTGCTTCTCTGGGATGGGGCCCTCCTGTCCTGGGGACTCTCGCTGCATGGCCTTAGCCCAGCTCCTTGCGGGGTCCCTCCTCCTTGGATGCCTTTTGTTTCTTTATCCTCCCCCCCCACACACACCATCTTCCTACCTTGATAGAAGTGTGAACTCTTCTCTCTTGTGGCATTCCAGCTGTTCTCTCTTTAAATCTCAGGCCGAATTCATAGGTTTTCAGGATAATTTGAAAGTTATCTAGGTTAAGTTGGTGGGGACAGGTGACTTGGGGACCCTACTCTTCCACCATCTTGCCCCCTCCCCCGAAATCAACATTTTTGTATGTTTTTCCACATACTCATTGGTGGGTCTATGTAGATTCCAAGTCCTCGACATCTGACTTCTAAACAGTTTTAGAATGCAACCTGTTGTGGGGAAATAGAGTAAATGTATGTCTCTCCCTGTCCTCTTCTCCCTCCTTGTTTCCTTCTTTCCATATTTGTTCATTTATAAGTTCAGCAAGCATTTGTTGAACATCTGTTATATTCCTATAATTATTCTAAATACTTGGAATAAAGAGATGAGCAAATCAAAGTCCTGCCCCTGTAGTATTTTTAGCAAGGAGAACATTGTAAATCTTTTGTTGACAAATCATCCCTTTTCTGGGTCATTAGACTCAACTGATAGTTTTCTTTTAGTGATAATAGAAGCATTTGTAATTACTACTTTTTGCAAACTTCTGTGCAAGCTGAAATGAATTCTAGGAATAGTATGTGTTTAAGGAAATGACCGTGAGCTTCTAAGGAGGTCATATAAGAAAAGTGGCAGAATTTGGAATCAGTAATAAACATCTAAGTAACTCCTATGTCATGAGTACCTACCAAGTGATGATTTAGCTTAGACACTTAGTAGCTGTCAACTTTTTAAAAAATTTTCAGTTAACAATTTAATTCCACTAACTTATATCTACCATGTCCCAAATGTTGTTCAGGAACTGCAGATTTAGAAATGAACACAAACCAGTTCCTATTCTCAAGGAGGTCCCAAGTCTAATAAGGGAAAGTAACAAGTAAATAAGTGTAGTATAAAGTTCTGGGGCTGCTGCTGCCACCGCTGACAGCTAATACTTGTATTGTGCTTAGTGTGTTTGAAGCATTTTTCTAAGTGCTGTCCGTGTATCAATTCATTTTGTCCTCAAAACAAAATGGTTCTGATTTAATGGATGAGGAAACTAAGGCTTAGAGAGGTTAAATAACTTAATGCAGGCCATACAGCTAGTAATGTTAAAAGTTCACAGAGTCATGTAAAGGGTGGTATGGAAACTGTAATGAAGGATCCAATACCTAATTCAGTGTTGGAGGTCCAGTGAAAGTATGCCAGAAGAGTGACACTTGAATTTGAGTTGCTAATTCTAGTAAATAAAAAGATGAAGTAATCATTATGGTTTTCTGGAGTGGCCACAAAAAACTCTGTCTTCTTTTCTTATTTTATTTATTTTATTTTATTTTATTTTATTTTATTTTATTTTATTTTATTTTTATTTTATTTTATTTTATTTTATTTTTTTATTTTTATTTTTATTTTTATGTTTAAGATTTCATTTATTTATTCATGAGAGACACACAGAGGGAGGGAGAAGCAGGCTTCATGCAGGGAGCCGGACATGGGACTCAACCCTGGGTCTCCAGGATCACGACCTGGACTGAAGGCGATGCTAAACTGCTGCACCACACCACTGGGGCTGCCCTTTGTCTTCTTTTCAAATAGTATTTCTTCAGAAAGTGAAACTCACATTAATTTTGATTTGTGTCCATAGTAGAATAGATGATACTCTTTCTGTGTGGAAGAAATGGAATTTTTTGTCTTCTGACTTCAAGCATAATCTGAACTATAATCTGATTTTATTTTTAGGTTGACAATACTTCACAAAGAATTTGATGTAGCTTTAAAATGATTTGATTTAGATGAACCCATTACAGATGCCAACAGGCTGCTTTCGGGCTATTTCATTATTTGTTGGATTCACTGAGTGAAGAGAACTCTGTTCTATGTCACCTACTTAATTTCCTCAGCATGGCACAGTCTAACCATTTTAAGTGACAAAATAATGTCCATATGTCTAGCAGTTGTAATTCTTTCTTTCACTTGTGTGATTTCCAGCATTGAAGATGACTCCAGGGCCAGGCCTTTCCCAAGGCATGTCAGTCAATGAAAAACTAATGTCAGGTGCCCCAATGAATACTACAACGTGTGTAGCTGACACGGAATCAGAGCAAGCAGATACATGGTAAAACTTCACTGTTAAATCATTGTTATTCTGTACGTAAATGGTATATTCAAGAAGTAAAGTCAGCGTCTCTATCAGATCAGCTCTTAGAGGATAAAGCTTGGGAAAAAAATAAAAAATAAAAATTAAAAAAAAAATAAAGCATGGGATAATGGGATGCCAAGGAAAATAATATATTAGGTCAAGGATTAGTAAACTTTCTCTACAGGACCAGAGAGTAAATATTTTTAGCTTTGTGAGCCATTGATCTCTGTCACAGCTACTCAGCTTTGCCATTGTAGCATGAACACAGCCATAGACAACATGTAAATGAATGTGTGGGGCTGTGTTCCAATAAAATTTAATTTACAAAAGCAAGTGGCAGGCCAGATTTGGCCTGTAAGCCATAGTTTGCTAACCCCTGTCTTAATGGTAGAGTTTTTTAGTTGTTCTTTACAAATTAATGTGGAAGACTGTAAAGAATTACACCAGTTTATTTGTGACTATCGAAACAAGTTTGTAATAAGTTTGTACTATGATGTTGCCCTCTTCTGAATATTATTTATAACTTGGGAATACTTTCTATGTGTCTACCTGGTTATCTAAATAATGAATATTTCATAATGATAGTTTTCTAGTGGTTCTCTATATGAAGAGGTTTTTGTTCTTTTTTTTTAAGATTTTATTTATTTTATTTATTCATGAAAGACAGAGAGAGAGAGAGTGAGAGAGAGAGAGGCACAGACACAGGCAGAGGGAGAAGCAGGCTCCATGCAGGGAGCCAGACTTGGGACTCGATCCCGGGACTCCAGGATTAGGCCCTGGGCTGAAGGTGGCGCTAAATGCTGAGCCACAGGGCTGCCCCGGGGCGGGGGGGGGGGGGGGGGGGGGTGTTGGGGGGGGGAGGGTTTGGGCGAGGGTAGCTCATTTGTATTCTCCCTGGTATTTTTAAGGAAGTGTATTTTAAATAATATATAATGAATGATTCATATTGAAAAATACTTGTGATATCACTATATTAAATCACACTTAAATTTTTTTTTTTAAATTTTTTTAAAATTTATTTATTTATGATAGTCACAGAGAGAGAGAGAGAGGCAGAGACATAGGCAGAGGGAGAAGCAGGCTCCATGCACCGGGAGCCCGATATGGGATTCGATCCCGGGTCTCCAGGATCGCGCCCTGAGCCAAAGGCAGGCGCCAAACCGCTGCGCCACCCAGGGATCCCCACACTTAAAATTTTAATACATCCTTTTTTTTTTTTTTTATAGAGGCCAGGTGTAAGTTTTAAAGGAAACTATTAATGTTTTGAAAGTCACATGTATGACCAGTTGTTTTTTGTGAAATAAGAATATTAAAGGCAGTTTATGTAACCATACATTGTAGAACTCTGTGTGTGTATGTGTGTGTGTATTTTAAATATTTTTCTGGTAGTATAGAATTCTATTCCAGGGACTGCCATCTGGCTGAAATGTAACCATATCAATTCATCTATATTCCTGCCATCTGGTTGGAACATAACCATATCAGTTCATCTGAATCTAAATTCATCTTATTTAGATCTAAATATCTCATTATATATGATGCTAGAATTGTAGGAGGTTGTTTTCTTCTGATTTTTCCTTTTTTTAAAATTTTTATTTATTTATGATAGTCACAGAGAGAAAGAGGGGGGCAGAGACATAGGCAGAGGGAGAAGCAGGCTCCATGCACCCGGAGCCCGATGTGGGATTCGATCCTGGGTCTCCAGGATCGTGCCCTGGGCCAAAGGCAGGCGCCAAACCGCTGTGCCACCCAGGGATCCCAATTTTTCCTTTTTAAATAAAATTTTTCATGAAAATAATTCTAAAATTTTAAACAGAGCAAAACTATCACCTAGTTTAATTTATAATAGAGTTGATGTTTCATGTCTGTATGGCAGTTTTTTGTTTTGTTTTGTTTTGTTTTAAAGATTTTATTTATTCACGAAGGACTTAGAGAGGCAGACACACAGGCAGAGGGAGAAGCAGGCTCCATGCAGGGAGCCCGACGTGGGACTTGATCCCGGGTCTCCAGGATCACGCCCTGGGCCGAAGGCAGACGCTCAACCACTGAGCCACCCAGGGATCCCCTGAATGGCAATTTTTTATAATAGAGTATGCCAGACATTGTGTGCTACGGGGGATGAAGAAGAGAAAGTTGCCTTTTTTTCTTTAAGGAGCACTAATATAAAAGGAGCAATTTTCTTGGGATAGTGACATATATTCCCTTAATTATTGTCTAAAAATTATGTTCTAAAGCTTTATCACATTAGTACTATCTAGAGGCCTGAGTTTCTAGATAAGAATTGCTAGAAGTTTGATTGTTTCACCTTGCATTCTTTTCTTCTGTTACAGTATGGATTTGAGTGAAAGACCTAAAGAAATCGAAATCTCCAAAGTGGAACAAAAATTCAGAATGCCTTCACAAGAAACGTCCACTGTGAAGGACCCGCCCAGGATAAGCTCTGATGATAGTAAAGCAGTATCGAATGCTCTGGTTAGGATGAAAATCCCAACCTGTCAGCTTTCACCGACTAAATCCTCAGGTGTAAATAAAAGTAGAGATCACACTTCCCAGCAGCTGCAGACCAACTCCATCAAAAATTACTTTAAGCCTTCTATCAAAAAAAGGTATATTTTTAAATAACACCTCTCTGTATCTGTGGAAAATACTGATATAGTAGAATGGCACAGAGTGTGTTCTGCTTGAAGATGCTTTTGTGGAAAACTGACCCTTTGACCTCATTCCCTCTCGGAAATGTCCAAGTCTCCTCCTTCACTAAGGTCATAATAGAGTCTCTCTCATCCTTTTTTCTTGCTCACCTTAAGCTTACCTGTTGTCTCACTTTGCTGCGCTTTTAGAGAAGAGCTTTCCCATGCCTCAGTTCCTTTGCCTTCTCTCACTTCCTCTAGGACCATGCTTCCTCAGTTATTCTCTCATTTTCAAGCACTTTCAATTATTCTAGCCCCTTCTCGATTCAAAAGCTCTATCTTTTACTTTTTTAAAACCTTCCCTGGACTTGGTTCTTTCCTCTAGCTACTGCCTCTTATCTTTCATACTCACAATTAAACTTCTCAAAAAAGGAGGTTATTATTGCTCCCATTTCCATATGAAATATTTCTTAACCAGCAATATTTCATCTCGACGTGATGTCCTCGAAAGTAGCCATTGACACAGTTGCCAGCTCTAGGGGCCTTTTGGTGCTTTTCAGCTCTTGAACCTTTCTTCTCCGAATGGTGTCTTGGTTTTTGTAGCAGTGGCCTCGCCTGGTTGTTTTTGCCTCTCTGACTTTCCTCCTTCGAGGACTTCTTTCCTTTTTTCTACTGCTACTTTTTATGTGCTTTATACTGTACCTTCAGAGTTTTCATGACTGTATTACAGGTGATCAGTATTTTTGTCCGACCTTAACCTTTTAAGCTTCACTTCTACGTTTCCACAGGAATTTTTTTCTGTTTTCCCAAATTATAGGCCTAAGGCTTTTCTCCTCTATCATTGAATATGTGTTTTCTTTGTTAGTAGTTCATTTTGTCAGAATCTTTGACTCTTTCTCCTTTGCTTCCGCAAAACAGCAGTGTGATTATTTTCACTGTTTTATAAATTCCTCCCTTTCCATATTTTTTGTATTGCCAGCTCTCTAATTTAAACTCTGACCAGCTGACTTACTACAAAAACCTCTTAGTCTGTACCCTGGTAATAGATTAGTATTATTAAAGTATCACTTCGACTATTGCAATTTAACAAAAATTTAGTAAACATCTGGGGAGCAGAGATCCGTGTTTTTATGCTCTCTATGGACCTCAGTACAGTTTAAATGAATAAAGTACTTATTCAGTACTTAGTGAATGAAACAGTATTATATAGAAAACTCTTAGTCATATATTCACATATTACTTGCAGTATATAGTCTGTACTGTATTCTGGATTTAACTACTCTTATTATCATGAATCTAGCTCTTACTAATCCATCAGGTTTTATTCCCAAGGTAATTTTTCCCTGCCTGCAGGTTCCCTACATTGTAAAGTAAGCTACTCTTTCCTGGCAACAAGTGCTTTGTATTTTTGTATCTTTCTGCCTTTTCCTTTACATTGATTTATCAGCTACTGCTGCCTTAGCAGAGAAGATAGACCTCTCCCTATGGTTTTAGCCATTGGGTTGACAGTCCTACGAAAACATGAGTGTCCATATGAAGTATGTGCCATTTTCAAATGTCCCATTTTTTAAATTTCCAATCATACTAATTAATAAAATCAAGAATACTGTGAATTAAATGGGGGGAGTGAATATTGCCAAACCACAAAATCACTTAGCTGTGTTCATTTTGTTTTTGCTTTCTTAAGGGAAAGAGATGAAGGAAATCAAGAAATTTCTTCAGCCAAATCAGCAAGAGTAGAAATGTCTTGTTCTCTTTTAGAACAAACACAATCTTCTACACCCTCAGTATGGGAAAATAAGGAGCAGCATCTATCTCAGAATAAGCCTCTGGAAAAGAAGCCAGATAATTTACTTACAGATAGACATTTCAAGTCCACTGTGAAAAATCCTGCCAATAAATCTCTTTCTACAGAAAAAAGAAAGGAAATTGATGACTTTGCCATAGAAGATGAAGTATTAGATCAGTTATTCAAGAACACAAAACCAGAGCTAGAAACTGGAGTGAAAGTTCAGAAACAAGAGGAAGATGTCAATATTAGAAAAAGGCCAAGATTGGATATAGAAACAAATGGCACTTTTGTTGAAGCAATACCGAAAACTAGTGAGATATCTGTAAGTAACATTTTTTAATGAGAAGCATTACAAATAGAAACTTTGAATGTTAAAAAGATATTTATGATGGTATAAGTATCATTTCCTTGAGGAAAAAGTTAATATCTTCAACACCTAATATTAAGTATAAGAATTTGGGGGCAGCCCCGGTGGCGCAGCGGTTTAACGCCGCCTGCAGCCTGAGGTGTGCTCCTGGAGACCCGGGATCGAGTCCCATATCAGGCTTCCTGCAGGGAGCCTGCTTCTCCCTCTGCCTGTGTCTCTGCCTCTCTCTTCGCTCTCTCTGAATGAATAAATAAATAAATCTTAAAAAAAAAAAAAAGAATTTGTTGGTTGATAAGGTAAATACTAAAAATAGTGCTTCTTTGACAGTATATAATAAATGGCAAATAAAATTGTTACTCATGATTATTTTAATAGATTTCCAGGCTATTCTATTACTATACTATCAAACCTTTGGCCTTGATTGTAAGTATAGGATAAACCTTAATAGAGGAAACAGCACAGAAAAATGAAGAAAGTTAGTAAAACAAGCTATCCACTAAATAATTTTTTTCAGGTAAAATAGGTGTAACATCACTAGGAATTTTTATTTTCATTTTGACTTTCAATATCCTATCCTGTTTTCCTGAAGGTTGCTAATTTGTTTTACCACTTCAGATTATTTCCTATTTTTTTGGATAAGTAAGTTGCCTACTTCCTTTAGAATAGTAAGTCATGAAGCGAAATCATGGACCACATGAAGTTAAAAGGTAATAATCTGATATTTTGTATAAGTCCATTAGCTCCACTCTCTTTCCTCTTGTGGTTATTGGTTATCCTCTCCTGTAAATGGCTACTACATAAGGACAGGACTAAGTAAAAAGATAAGGATTAAGTGATTAGAAGGTATAGTGATTCAATTCAATAGGTATTTGTTGAGAATTTACTGTGTATCAAGCACTATAAATCTATTAACTAATGTTTTGAAAAAGCAAAATATATGTCCTCTTTAGCCAAAATACCAGCATCTTCATATGAAGGAGGGAATCTTCATCATTTATTTGTTTTGAGTGAATCCTAAAAGCCCTTCTGTAGACCAGCTGCATCAGAATCACCTAGTGAGCTTTTTTTTTTTTTTTAAGATTTTTATTTATTTATTCATCAGAGAGAGGGAGAGAGAGGCAGAGACACAGGCAGAGTTTGGAGAAGCAGGCTCCATGCAGGGAGCCTGACGTGGGACTCGATCCCGGGACCCCAGGATCACACCCTGGGCTGAAGGTGGCGCTAAACCGCTGAGCCACCCAGGCTGCCCTGGTGAGCTTTTTAATTTATTTTATTTTATTTTATTTTATTTTATTTTATTTTATTTTATTTTATTTTATTTTATTTTATTTTATTTTATTTATTTATTTGTTTATTTTTGAGAGCTTTTTTAAAAATGTGGATACGCAGACCCAAACCCCAAAGACCCTGATGCAATACATCCAGTTATTTTCCCAGAAAAAGTTTCCACGTTTTATGAGCTAAGAATTCCTTTTGCTGTCTTTAAAAATTCTAAACTCAGCATAAAGTAGATGTGGTTATTTTTTTTCTGTAGAAGAAACCCAGACGTAGGTAATCAAAGCTGCTCAGAAGTTCTGTGCTATTAATTTCTTAGGTGTCTGTTTTTCTCTCTACAAGGTGGTACCTCTAGCCATCACATCAACTTCCCAGGGAGGAAAAACAGAATGGAGAGGGGACAGGACAAAGGCTTTTCCACTTGAGTTCCTCCTCACCTTCTAAGGAGCTCTTTCAGAAACCCCACTTTGAAACTTTGGCTTTCGGCCAGAATTTAATCTTGGGCTGCACCACTCCCCATTCCTCACCCTTAGTCTACAAGAGAGTATGGGAAATGTTTTAAGCTTGGCGCATTGCTGTCCCTAACAAACTGAGTATTAGATAAGGAAGAAAGAGTGAATACTGAGATACCTTTTAGTCAAATTGAGAAATTCAGAGAAAGAGGGGTTCTTTATTATCAAAAATTAGCTGGCACTTTACAGAAAAGATTAATTGAACTAAGTGGTTCATATAACCTGTAAGTTACTATTCTATAAGTTTAGCAATTAACCCTATAGTGGAAGTCCAAGAGATGATTTCTTATGTTTAATAAATTTATGTCTCTTTATAAAGATAGATTTACTCTAGTTGTGTTGCAAATTTACATTGTTACTTTAGCTCAGACTATTCCAAAATCTGTTTTCAGACCACTTAATATTATAAGCACTGAATCTTTAGAAAATTAGACTCTATATTATTTTGGATACACTTTTGAAAATGCTCTTCCCTTGCCATATCCTTCCTCCCCGCTGTTTTTATTTCTAGTTTTTTTCTGATGTATTTTTATTTTCTTTCTCTTTTTGTTTTATTTTTATTTTATTTTTATTTATTTTTTTTTAATTTATGCTATATATATTATGCCACAATTTTATTATTTTTTTAATTTTTATTTATTTATGATAGTCACAGAGAGAGAGAGAGAGAGAGGCAGAGACATAGGCAGAGGGAGAAACAGGCTCCATGCACCGAGAACCCGACGTGGGATTTGATCCCGGGTCTCCAGGATCATGCCCTGGGCCAAAGGCAGGCGCCAAACCGCTGCGCCACCCAGGGATCCCCTCTCTTTGTTTTATTACCTCCTTTAGTTTTTAATAGCCTTTTTTTTTCTTTTTCTTAAATTCTATCCCAAATTGGTCCACTGCTCACAGTGGCCATAGCTCTGTCTGAAAATGGTTGTGGTTTTAATAATAGAACTCCTTGGTTCCTCCTGTATGGCTGCTCATTTCTGCTATCTTGACTGCCCATTTTCCCAGAACTCATGGTCGCCCAAGCAATCAGGCACTAGATCCTAGAGTGGGAGGACCAGGAAATGAACATAACACACTAGTGATACAGGAACCATTAAAGTCTTTTGTGTATCTAAAAAGACCTTTCTTGTATTTATTTTTTTAATTTAAATTCAATTTGCCAACATATAGTATAATACTCAGTGCTCCTGACATCATGTGACCTCCTTAATGCCTGTCACCAAGTTATCCCATCCTCCCCACCCGCCTCCACTTCAGCAACCCTCAGTTTGTTTCCCAGACTTAAAAGTCTCTCATGCTTTGTCTTCTCTCTGATTTTTTTCCCCAGTTTCCTCTCCTTCCCTTATGGTCCCTTGCACTATTACTGTATTTCACATATGAGTGAGACCATATGATAATTGTCTTTCTCCATTTGACTTCATTTACTCAGCACAATACCGTCCAGTTCCATCCATGTTGATGTAATTGGTAGGTATTCATCCTTTCTGTTGGCTGAGTAATATTCCATTGTATGTATAAACCACATCTTTATCCACTCATCTGTCAAAGGACATCTCAGCCTCTTCGACAGTTTGGCTATTGTGGACATTGCTGCTGTGAACATTGAGGTGCAGGTGCTCTTTCATTTCATTACATCTGTATCTTTGGGGTGAATACTCAGTAGTGCAATTGCTAGGTCATAGGGTAGCCCTATTTTAACTTCTTTGAGGAACCTCCATACAGTTTTCCAGAGTGGCTGCACCAGCTTGCATTCCCACCAACAATTTAAGAGGTTCCCCTTTCTCCACATCCTCCTCAGCATTTGTTGTTTCCTGTCTTGTTGATTTTACTCATTCTCACCGGCATAAAGTGGTATCTCATTGTGGTTTGATTTGTATTTCCTGGGTGATAGTGATGTGAGCATTTTTTGGGTGCCTGTTGGCCATTTGTAGGTCTTCTTTGGAGAAATGTCTGTTCATATCTTCTGCCCATTTCTTGACTGGATTATTTGTGTTTTGAGTGTTAAGTTTGGTAAATTCTTTTACATCTTGGATATTAGCCCTTTATCTAGTATGTCATTTGCAAGTATCTTCTCCCATTCTCTAGGTTGCCTTTTAGCTTGGTTGACTGTTTCCTTTGCTGTGCAGAAGCTTTTTATCTTGATGAAGTCCCAATAGTTCATTTTTGCTTTCGTTTCTCTTGCCTTTAGAGACATATCTTGCAAGAAGTTGTTGCAGCTGAGGTCAGAAAGGTTGCTGCTTGTGTTCTCCTCTAGGATTTTGATGGATTCCTGTTTCACATTTAGGTTTTTCATCCCTTTTGAGTTTATCTTTGTGTATGGGTTAAAAGAATGGCCCAGTTTCATTCTTTTGCATGTGACTGTCCAGTTTTCCCAACACTGTTTATTGAAGAGATGGTCTTTTTTCCATTGGATATTCTTTCCTGCTTTGTTGAAGATGAATTGACCATAGAGCTGAATGTCAATTTCTGGGTTCTCTCTTCTGTTCCATTGATCTATGTGTCTGTTTTTGTGCCAACACATGCTGTCTTGATGATCACAGCTTTGTTATATAGCTTGAAGTCAGGGGTTGTGATAGCCCCAGCTTTGGTTTTCTTTTTCTTTTTTGAAGGATTTTATCTATTTATTCATGAGAGACAGAAAGAGAGAGGCAGAGTGAGAAGCAGGCTCCCCACAGAAGCCTGATATGGGACTCGATCCCAGGACCCCGGGAGCACCCCTGGAGCCGAAGGCAGACGATCAACCACTGAGCCACCCAGACATCCCAGTTTTCTTTTTCAGCATTCCTCTGGCTATTTGGGGTCCTTTATGGTTCCATACAAATCTTAGAATTATGTGTTCCGACTCTGTGAAAAATGTCCATGGTATTTTGGTAGGGATTGCATTGAATGTGTAGATTGCCCTGGGTAGCATTAACATTTTCATAATATTTATTCTCCCAATCCATGAGTATGGAATTTTTTTATCTCCTTGTGTCTTCCTCAATTTCTTTCATAAGTTTCTAGGGACACCTGGGTGGCTCAGCAGTTGAGCCTCTGCCTTCAGCTCAGGGTGTGATCTGGGGATCGAGTGCGGCATCGGGCTCCCTGCAGGGAGCCTGCTTCTCCCTCTACCTGTGTCTCTGCCTCTCTCTGTGTGTCTCTCATGAATAAATAAATAAAATCTTAAAAAAAAAAAAGCGTTCTATAGTTTCTAGAGTACAGATCATTTACCTCTTTGGTTAAGTTTATTCCAAGATATCTTATGGTTTTGGTGCAATTATAAATGGGATCAATTCCTTAATTTCTCTTTCTTCAGACTTATTGAAGACCTTTCATTTAATAGCCAAGGTTTACATACTGTATAATGATATCAGGGAATACAGTCATTATATTTTGCTCTGTGGTTCTGCAGCATAATTTCCCTGTCCTTATTTTACTATTTTGGAATCCATAACATTCTAAAAAAAAAAAAAATGCAGTGTAAGGGGCACCTGGGTGGCTCAGCGGTTGAGTATCTGCCTTCAGCTCAGGTCATGATTCTGGGTCTGGGATCAAGTCCCCCTGGAGCCTGCTTCTCCCTCTATGTCTCTGCCTCTTTCTCTCTCTCATGAATAAATAGAATCTTTTTAAAAAAAATACAGTGTAAAATATGTTTTAGAAGACTTTTGAAGAGTATGAATAGTGATTTGATTGTGATACATTTTGGGTAAACTAAAAGTTAAATCACTTTATTCTAGTAAGAACCTGTTACATTAGTGTTTTGACTTTCAGTATTAAGATGATTTTTGACAATTTTGTATTTTGAGATAATTGATTGACGTGCAGTTGTGAGAAATTATATAGAGAGATCCAATATACCTTTCATCCTTTATCCTCTAATTGTAGCATTTTGTGTAACTATAGTACAGTATCACAGCCAGGAAATTGACTTGGATGCAATTCATCAGTCTTACTCAAACAATGGAGATTATTTTTAATTCTTCCACTTTTATCACTTTAAGAATTTATTGTTGGAAAGTCCTTGTACATATTCATGGATTAAAGGAATTGTGCTTAATTTTTCTTGCTATGAAAGTGATTATTGGAAAAAAATTCTTAATCCTTTCATTTAAAAAACTTTTTGCAATTTTAAGGCAAAAATGTGATACTTCTTTTTGACATTAGATTCCTTACGTATATTTCAGAAAGGTAATTTCTAAAATATGTTAACAGTAGAACTGCTCTTTTTCTATTTTGAAATTTAAATATAGATTCTAACACATCTATAATATTTTCTTTAAAAAAAATTCATTTATTTTATAGAGGGAGAGAGAGAGAGAGTGGGAGCTAAGGGGGAGAAGGAAGTGAGAAAATCCCAAGCATACGCCCTGCTGAGCACAGAGCCCATCTTGAGGCTTGCTCTCAGGACCCTGAGATCACGACCTGAGCGTAAACCAAGAACTGGACACTTAACCGATTGTGCCACCCAGGCGCCCCCCTGTAAGATCTTCTACAAGCTGAAGTAGAAAGCTGCTGGCTAGATACTCCTGCTAGGCGTGTATCCTTATTTATATATAAATATATGACCGCTGTAGCTGAGTCTTGGCCTTAAAATTTCCTAGTCTCCATAAAATGCAAACATGAAGCATTATCTTTATTTACATTCCTCTTCTGAATAGTACCCACAGAGTATCTTTTCATCACCCTATTCCACTTTCCTATTACAAATTAAGGTTTCTTCTTCTGTCCTTCCATAGCCTAGTAGTGTAATACCTACCACTTAACTGGTACCACCATTCTGTTTTCAGCAACCCTGCAATAAAGTGGCAGCACTAATGTATTGAACTGATTAGGAAACTGATAGTGGGAGGTAGTAAGTAACTGGGCAATGTCACTTAGCTAGGATTGGAACTGGGACAAAAACACAGGCTACTCCGCTCTTTTGGCTGTTCCTTTTGTCAGCTTTCTCAGAGTGTCCTATAATCAGTTATTCTACATGGTGGGTGTGCTAACATGAAAGGCGGTCGAGAGGATAAGTTCGATAGGCCTTTAAAAGGGAGACTTTCCAGGACTTGGTGATTGACTCACCCTGAGAAATGGAGAGGAAAGAGTATAGAATAATTCCCAAACTTAGACTCTGAGTGCCTGAGTAGTTTGTAGCAATGATTCCCCGAGCTAGGAAGTAACTTGCTCAAGAGGATGAGCAAGTTTGAGGGAGTAGAGCAGGATGGGGACGAGGTGTGTGGGGGGGAAGTAAACTGCTCTGACTGTGATAACTTCCAGTGGGGGATACATATGAAAACAGTGAAAAGGTAACATGGTAGGCTTGGAGTATAAATTTTTAATCTTACTATTGATAAATGAAAACATTAATTCTCTTTAGTTCCTAGGCAAATACAAAGTACGTACATTTGTTTTTCTGCCCATTCTTTCCAACTTTCCTATTACAATTTTTCTGAATTTTTATGACTGCATCATTCAAAATTTGATGTAAAACAATATGTGCCCCTATTGTATCCCAAGGGACTATAGTTTTTACTGACAGTTTCAGAAATCCATCTCTGTAATATGCTTTTATCTGGAACCTGGTCCGGATACATGAATGTGGAGGAGGCATGATTGTATACAAAACAATTTCCATTTTATTGCACACAGATATCTTGAGCAATTGAAGTAACCCTCTTTCCTTTTTCCTGGATTAAGGGTGATTCAAAATTAAATACTAAGCATAAAGTTAGATAGAATCCTTTAAAATTGTTTTTATTTTAGTCTGTAACAGTAGTACATAATCATGTAGAAATATAAAAAATACAAACATAAAAATTTGTTGATGATCCTATTGGCTGTGGATAACCATAGTAAATATTTTGGTATTTTCTTTTTGAAATCTTATTTTGTAAGCTTAAAATCAACTGTTAATGAAATTCTATAGCTATTTTTTATTCACTTAGAATCATTTCTCATACTGTAAAATAACTTATATGAATTTATATTGTTTCCAAATCTTTGCTCTTGTAACTCATACTACAATATCTTTTTCTCTATATTTTTCTATTCTCATCTCCTAGCTTCTCTAGGAAGGTTACTTGTAAGTCTCATAACTGTGTCAAGAACATAAATATGTTTAAAGGTACCATTTTATAATTTTTATGAACAGTATTTTTTATTTCCTTAGCAAGAAAATGAAATTGAGAAGAAATGTGAGCTCAAGAGTGAGTCACTGTGGTCAACGAAAGAAGAACTATCTGTGAGGAAATTTTTATTTTTATAAAATCTTTTATTTTTATAAAAATTAGACTTAAGAACCAATGTCTCATCAATTTATGTCAGTTTACATTCTTAGTATTAATCATTTCTCTTTCTGTAATTTTGTTGTATTTCATGAGATAAAGAATCTTATCTAGCAGCAGGAAGGAATTTCAGGCTGATTTAATCTGCAATTAAAAAATGGCTTTCATTCAGTAAGGTAGTGTATCCAGAATTAATAATTTTTGGAGGTGTCAAAAATAATAAAATAATAAATAATAATAAAATAATAAAATAAAAATCCAAGAAAGCTTAAGTATAGTAGATGAGAACTTTGTAGAACAGATTGTGCAATAATGCTAATTTATGGTTTTAATGAAAAGTAGACAAAACTGAGATTTCTTGCTAAGAAAATATATACAAGAAGATAAATTATTTATTGGGATGATATTAGAATACACTAAATTAAAATGCTGTATGCTTCTATCATATAAATATTTCTAAAATTGCATATTATTTGAGTAAGTAACTTTCTGGTTTGAAGTAGATATGATTTGATTCCAAATACAAAGTTTAAGTGCCAGAAATAAACCTTTTTTGTACTGTTTTTTTCAAGTATTTGAACTTTTTTTTGTAGATTCCCAAGTGACAAATAATATTCTTTTTCCCTATTTTTTTTTTGCTTATGTATCCATCTTAACTCCATTTAAGATCAAAGATGAACTTGAGGATGATGGTGATATGCTTCCAAGGAAGGTGTTACTGACTGAATTTAGATCACTGGTGGTTAATAACTCTACGCCCAGAAACGCATCCAGTGTAAATAGTGATTATGGTCAACCAAAGAATTTCAAGAAATTCAAAAAGGTATGATATTCCTTTAAAATATCACAAGAGGGCAGTGTTTGAAATGTTTTTAGGAATACCGTTGATGCTAAGTAGTGAAACCAATTCCTATTGAAAACTGGTGTTATTTCTTCTGCTTAAAGCAGTTAAAATTACTGTAGGAAGGACATGAACTGACAGGTATTGAATATGTGAATAAATATATAATGAGTATTTGGAAGCAGACTTCACCAAGACTGAATTCTTCAAAGGGTGCTGTTTATCTGGCCTTCCCTACCTTAAGAGGCAGGCTTTGGGTTAAATTGATAGAGTCCTTCTACTTCTAATAGTGATCTGCGTCTACCAGAAGGGGTTCTTTATCTCAGGAATTTATGAAAGAGCTAAACACATTAAATACAATGAAAAGTAATCACTTTACTGTTACATATATATATATAAAAAAATATAAGTATGCACCCTGAGTATTATCATCAGACCGGAGTTTCTTCTCCTCTAGGAACTGATGTTTAACTTATCAGTATGTTTAAAAGAATATTTCTGACCTAGTCTGTATTCTTTTGTTGTTTTTTCTGGAATATTTGCTTCTTATCCCATATCTACTACTGACCACTATCTTATGTTTAAGCATTTAATCAGAATACAGTAATTTTGTCAAAGGTGATTTCTGTGGAAGAATGCTTTTTATTAGACTATGATCTGTATGATTCTCACTGTACTATGAGGTGTTGTAGCTTTTTCTCTCTAATGTGAGCTACTAGTAACATTTGTCAGTTAAATTAATTTTTTACCTACTACGACAGTGTGTAGAAGTTTCTAAACTCCATCTCTTAGAGTGGAAGATAGAAATGTTTCCCACTTAGATGGCACCCACTTACCCTTTTCCATCCCACAGGTGTGTCTCATGAATACCATATGGGCCATTCTTATCTGTATGGTTACTTCATGTTCAATATCATGTTACTAGGTCTCATTGTTAAGTCAAAATTCAAAAGAAGTACTATTCTTTTTTTTTTTTAATTAATGAAGTTACCAAAGATAAAGCAATAATACTCACTTTTGGCCCCAGGGATGATCAAGAAATACAGAATAGTACAAACTGCTAGAAAGTAGTTTGGAAAAATTTTAAACTCTTAAAAAATATTAATATCTTTGACTAAGGAATTTTTTTTTGAGACTATAAAATTCAAACCAAAATTTATGTGGTGGGATGATTTAACTGGATTGGCTCTAATGAAAGAATTTGTTATTTTCTTTATATACCTGAATCCAATAACATGGCTTTTTTGTGTCTTTAAAGTATGTTTAATGATGAAAATTAATTTAAAATTCCCTTTCTGTGGGGGCTGGGTGGCTTAAATGGTTAAATGTCTACCTTCTGCTCAGGGTTATGATCCCAGGGTCCTGAGATCAAACCCCTCATTGGGCTCCCTGCTCAGCAGGGAGGCTGCTTCTCCCTCTGCTCCTCCCCTTGCTCATGCTTTATGTCTCTCAAATAAAAAAATAAATATAAATAAATTCCCTTTCCACTTCATATATTGAAATTTTAAAGGTATGTCCCATAGATATTAAGGTTTTATTATTAACTAAATAGAATATTAGCAGTGAGCTTCATTTGCATTTTCACAATATTTTTAGCACCTGTTTATTGATAAACAATTAAAATTTTAATTAAAAATATAAACTGTCATCTCTAGCATCTTTTACTAGAGATACATAAATTGGAAAGTTTTATTTTTTAAAGATTTTATTTATCCACAGGAGACCCAGAGACAGAGGCAGAGGGAGAAGCAGGCTCCCCGTGGGGAGCCTGATACGGGACTCGATTTAGGACCCCGGGGTCACAAGCTGATCCAAAGCCACCCAGATGCCTCGATTGGAAAGTTTTAAAGACGTACATTTTCATGAGTTCTAGACAAAGCTTAAACTTTGAAATCTTTAAAAGAGGGACGCCTAGGTGGCTCAGTGGTTGAGCGGCTGCCTTTGGCTCAGGGTGTGATCCCAGAATCCTTGGATCGAGTCCCACATCGGGCTCCCTGCAGGGAGCCTGCTCCTCCCTCTGCCTGTGTCTCTGTCTCGCTCTGTCTCTCATGAATAAATAAATAAAATCTTATATATAAAAAAAAGAAACCTTTAGAACAAAATATACTTTATATATTCACCTTAAGTTGCTTCAAATGCTAAATGATGAGCTAAGGCCATTTTTTAATAAAACTCCCAATTAAAAATCTTAATTAAATTCTTGGTACATAAATCCCAGTGATATATCTAAATCTGGGTATAGCAATAGCCAAAAAAATACGGCAAAAAAGTGGGTCTAGCATAGTTACTTATCTCTCACTTTCATTTATAGGATATAAACATTTTTGGCAGTTATATGTAATTAATACGCTTTAATTTTTATTAAGCTTTTTAAAAAATGATCTTAGGGGTACCTGAGTGGCTTAGCTGGCTTGGTAGATGACTCTTGATTTCATCTTAGATCATGATCTCAAGGTCATAAAATCAAGTTCCACATTGGATACTCTGCTCAGCAGCAAGTCTGCTTCAGATTCTCTCTCCTCCCTCTGCCCTCCCCTCCCCTCCCCACTCACTCACACACTCATTCCCTTTCTAAAATAAGAAAAAAAAATGAGACGGTCTTAATTTGTTAATGCATTTAACCTTAAAACTTTTACTATTTAACAGGTCACATTTCCTGGAGCAGGAAAACTTCCACGCATCATTGGAGGATCAGATCTAGTAGCTCATCATGCTCGGAAGAATACAGAATTAGAAGAATGGTTAAGGCAGGAAATGGAGGTCAGTAGGAAATGGGGCCTGGTGACTTGCTTGGTTTACATTTTGGTCCCTCATGGTTTCCTTAGAGCAAATGAGAGACCCTAGATGAAGGTCAAGCCCCTCGTCCAGCTCCTTGCTCAGCAGAGAGTCTGCTTCTCCCTCTACCCTTCCTCCTACTCATCTGCTCTCTCTCTGTCTCAGATAAATAAAATAAAATCTTTAAAAAAAATGAATTTTACATCCTAATGTAAAGGGGAGAAAAGAGACTTAACGTACAAAAATGAAAAAGAAAGCTAACGGGATCACAATTCAAAGATGGTTGTACAGTCATGTGGGGGGGGTCATTGCAAATAATATCAGAGTTACATACTAAGTAAATGTACTGGGCTTTCTGAATCTAGAAATTATCTTTCAGTAGTACCAAGGATTTCTCAGGCATTATTTTACTGAGTTCCACCTTTTTCCTATTCTCTTGTATCTTTTTTTTGCCTACGTTTAATTTTTATAGAACTGCCATATTGTTTTCCAAAGCAACTGCTCCATTTTACATTGTCACTAATACTGCACAAAGGTTCCAGTTTCTCCGTATCCTCTCCAACACTTGTTATTCTCACTTGTTATTCTTCACTGGTTTTTTTTATAGTGGGCATCTAACTCGTGTGAACCTCATTGTGGTTTTGATTTGCACTTTCCTAATGATTAATGATATTGTGCACCTTCGCATATGCTTGTTGGCCATTTGCATATCTTTTTTGGAGAAATATCTATTCAAAAAGCTCTCTTCCTATTACTAATCAGATTGATTTTTTTTATTGTTATGAATTAGAGCTGTTCTTTATGTATTCTGATAATCCTTATCAGATATATGATTTGTATGATTTGCAGGTGTTTTCTCCCTTCCTCTGTGTTACCTTTTCACTCTGTTGTTTGTGTATTTTGATGCACAGAAATCTTAAATTTTGATGTAGTTCAGTTTATCAATTTTGTTGTTGTTACCTGTGCTTTTGGCCTCATATCCAAGGAATCCTTGCCAAATCCAATGTCAGGAAGTCTTTGCCTTTTTTTCTTCTAAGAGTTTTATAGTTTTAGCTCTTATATTTAGATCTTGAATTGATTTTGAGTTCATTTTCATAGGTGTTACAAGATTAGAGTTTAACTTCATTCTCTGTGGTTGCACTTTTGCACTGTGGTTTAATGATGAATGAGCGAGCGCAACATCTCGAAGGTGAAGGAGGGAGTCTCAAGTCAGTTGTAACTATTGACAACTGTTTGCTGTGGGAGACTTGCCTTGGTGCCTCCTCCCATGAGCAGTTGTTACTGATCTATCTCATTTCCCCCCAGAGTCTTTATAAGTTTTAAGAAAGTAAGAAAAATTGTTAAATAATATTGGTAAGTAGTAACTATTTATATGTAGTTCAAATTCTTAAAATTTTTATTATGAAAACTTTTCAGACATACACAAAATAGTGAAACAAACCCCAAACAACAGCTATAACAAATATCAGCATTCATCTGTTTTCTTTCCCAACTTTTTTTTCTTTCTGGAGTATTTTAAAGCAAATCCCAGTCATTTTATCGGTTCATTTATATTTATATGGTCAAACATATACAGATTACTGATCAAATACGTATGTATGGTATCAGAAAATGCTTTTCTATGTCCTTTCTAGTAAGATACTTACATCATCAGTTCACATTGCTTTAAATCCTAGACTAGGACCAGCAGCATAGTTTTTTTGTTTGTTTTTGTTTTTTTTATCAGCATAGCTTTGACACTTGAAATTGCTTTAGATTTTTTTGCAGACTTGCTTTATGGCATGTCTTTGATCATATCTACAACTAATATGTTGTAAAACTAAACCTCAGTTATAACTTGGTTCTTTTGGGAAAATATGAACTGTTTTACTGCTCTTCATGTTAAAATGTGATTTTCAGGAGTTCACTGCACATATCAGCTACATATATACTCTATAATGAGAACTTACAGGAAAGATTATAAAAATATGCTTCTCTGTTTCTTTTTTTTTTTTCTTTTTTTTTTTACTTTCTTCCTGGATGTTTTGAGTCCTAATGGATATTTTGTAAAATGACCATCTAAGTAATTCATAATTCTTTCTACCCCTTACTTACTTTTAACTGGAGAATTTAATAGAATTTAAAGTGGGCATCTTTTCTATAGAGGAAGTTACTGCATGGAAGTCAAGATTTCAGAAACACATGACTGTTGAATTGAGAAATAATCATAGACCTCTTCCAAGTTAGAAAGTTTTCTTCTTAGCCTTTGTATTGCCTGATTATCGAATACTCCGGAAACCCAGAGATGTGCTCCAGAAAGGTCCTCCCAACAGGCTATTTGGTAATTGGCAAGTTAGAGGTATTATCTCTTGAACTCCAATTTGACAGAAGTCAAATTTCACTTTCTTCTCTATCTTCTTTTTTATCTATCTTATCTCTTTTTTTTCCCCCCTCTGGATTGCATTTTTTGATAACTCCTCCAGATTATCTTCCAGTTTTGTACTTTTCCCTTCCACTCCATCTGGTTCGTATTCCCACTGTCCTCTGAGTTTTCATTTAGCTTGTTATATTTTTTCAATTCTGGATGTCTGTTTCATTCATCTCTAAGTCTTATTGTTCCCTGTTGATATTTTTAAGCTTTTCTTTTGTATTATTTGTCTAAAGTATTTGTTGATACGTTTCTGCTACTCTTCTCTTAATGGAGCCTTGTTTCCAAGTATGTATTTTGTGATAGTTGAATGTGAACTGCTTTGTTTTGCTTGGAATTTAATCTGTAGAAATTCCTTGAACCCTGAGTTCAAGTTTATTTCCTCTAGAAAAGAAATGTTTGTGTCTGCAAGTCTTGTTCTACCAATATGAGACCACTTTACCTCTGCTTGTGATTTTTATGGATTACCTAGGTAATATGTATTTGGACCAGAAGTCCAAGTGAAAGGCAGCTTGTCATAAGAGACATTGAAAGAGAGGGAGACACATAGGTAGAGGGATAAGCAGGCTTCCTGCGGGGAGCCCCATGTGGGACTGGATCCCTGGACCTTGGGATCACATCCTGGAGCCCTAGGCAGATGCTCAACCACTGAGCCACCCAGGTGTCCCAGGAGAGTGTTTTAAAAATTTTCTTTCACCTTGTGCTAGGGTCGAGGCAGACAAGTTTCTTTCTTACCTTCTTTTTCTATTGTATTAAACAGTTTATTCCTCTTTCTCCCTTTAATGCTGGAGTCTCTTCTTAGATTCCCCATCTTTGATTTTCTTTTTTCTCACTCATCCTCCATTCAGACATCAAAGCAGAGCCCAGTTTTTTAATGCTTTGCAGATAACCACAGGGCAAGGCAAAAGCTGACCGTGGTACTTGTTAACTTCTCAGGGTTCTTATTTTGTGCCATTGTGGGTTTAGGGTAGTTTTCAGCAGTTTGTGTTTAAAAATACTTTTTAGGGATGCCTGGGTGGCTCAGCGGTTGGACGCCTGCCTTTGGCTCAGGGTGTGATCCCAGAGTCCCGGGATCTAGTCCCACATCAGACTCCCTGCGTGGAGCCTGCTTCTCCCTCTGCCTGTGTCTCTGCCTCTCTCTGTATGTCTCTCTTGAATACATAAACATCTTAAAAAAAAAAAACTTTTTGGTCAAAAAATTGTTAAAAAGTAGGGTTGTTAAGGTCACTCAGGATATTTAGTGTCAAAAAATGGAAGGATGGAAGTCACATCCCTTCTTCCTTTCTTTTTTGAATGAATAAATGGCCTTACTTAAAATGTGCATTTCAAAGAATTATGATAGTACACAAAAGAATGATGAAGTGAAAATCCCGGAGTCCAGAAATTACCTATTTAAACATTAAGTGAATTATTCCAGATACTTCTTTATTGAAGAGGAGTAATAGCCAGACAGAGTGGGAAGAGAGAAAGAGAGCTGATAGGAAGTAAAGCTGAAAGCATTGCTAAATTTTTGCAAATGTTTCTTCTTTTCAAGGTATTTTATTTCCTGAGATCCAAGACCAAGCAGTGATAAATATGACCAAAACCAAACCAAACAAACAAACAAACCCTTGTCAGGTTAGAATCAGTACTTGTTTCAAGCTGCCTATTTTGATTTTAGATATATTTTTTTGGCTCCCTGCTGTAAACAGGAAATTATTTGTACTTCAGCCCTCCCCCCACACCCCCCTCCCCCCATCTTAGGACAGTCCTATTTAGAAAGTACTTGCATGCCTGCAACATTCCTTCTTAGGCTTGCAAGTCATTAATGATGAGAATATATCAATTTTCCATTTGTTTTTCCTGGAATACAGTGTGTTATTTTCATTTGCAGATGCAGGTCTTTTTATTTCAAGGAACTCTTATTATGTCTGTGAAAGCATTTTTATATTTGCTGGGTTGTCTACATTTAAGACATAATTATCCTTTTATTAGATCACCTTTGCTCTCCACATCCATCTCTTCTGCATTCACTGGGGTTTTTTCTTTTTCTTTTTTTTTTTAAAGACTTTATTTATTCATGAGAGAGAGAGAGGAGCAAGCTCCATGCAAGGAGCTCGACGTGGGACTCGATCCCAGGTCTTCAGGATCAGGCCCTGGCCGAAAGCAGGCGCTAAACCACTGAGCCACCCGGGCTGCCCCACTGGGGTTTTCTTAAGCTCTTTTACTATGTCAAAAATTCAGATTTCAGCTGTGTCTGTTCTGTTCTTCATCAGCAATGTGGTCTTGGGCATATTACTTCCTTATGTTTACATTTATTCCTGTGCAAAATGGGAACAATAATAGTACCTCTGTTTCACGGAATTTTTCTAAGGATTAAATAAGATGCTACTTATAAAACATAGCAGTGGAAACAGTCACTGTTAGGTGTTTCTAATTTATTTGATTCTGAAATGGTGTTAATGGGTCTCAGTCTGTTAGCATTTGTTCTCTTTTCATTGTCATTGTGTTTTTTTGTCATCTAACTTTTTGGTTTGTGTTGCTTTCATGTTCTTAGTAACTTCGTTTTTTTTTTATCCTTGGGTTATTTCTTGCAGACTGGGTTCTTCATGCATCTTGCATGTTCTGTTCCAGTTGCTGTCTTTTTTCCCCCCCTTGGTAATGTAGTTTATAGTTTCTTTCATCTTGCAGCTATTTAGAGTAAAATACTCTGTCCAGGTACTTTATTTACTTTGTGAAGTATCGTATGCTATCATGTGCAGGGATTACAATCTAAAGACCATTTGTGCAACTGATGAGTTAATAAGCTCTACATCTGAAACTAATGGTGTACTAATTGAATTTAAATAAAAAATACAGATGAATGGATAAATATACACAATAGAATATTACTCAAACATTAAAGAATGAAATCTTGCCATTCATTTGCAATGACGTGGATGGAGCTAGAGTATATTATGCTAATAAGCAAAATTAGCATAAGCAAAATAAGTCAGAGAAAGACAAATACCAAATGATTTCACTCCTATTTGCAATTTAAGAAACAAAACAGATGAACATAGGGGAAGGAAAGGAAAAATAAGATAAATCAGAGAGAGAGGGAAACCAGAAGAGATTCTGGATTGTAGGACACAAACTGAGGGTTGCTGGAGGGGAGAAGGGTGAGGGGATGGGGTAACCGGGTGGTGGGCATTAAGGAGGGCACGTGATGTGATGAGCACTGCAACTGATGAATCACTGAAGACTCTACCCCTGAAACTGATAATACACTATATGTTAACTAAATTAATTTAAATAGAAATTAAAAAAAAAACAAAGACTGTGAGGCAAAAAGTGAAGTATCAGAATTACTCCTACCCAAGCTCTTAGTGTGTCTGGAGACGATGAATCCAGGAAAGCAAGGGCTCAGCTGGAGCTCTGTGCTGCTCCTTCCGGGGACTGGGATTAAATGTATACCAGGGAGTGTATATCTTACCCCAGAAGACAGTAGTAACCTGCCATTTTAGGTGGTTTTCCTGATTTGTCAGGGCTGCATGGAGCCTGCGCCTTTGGTCAGTGTCAGTCCCGCCTACTTCCCTGTGCCAAGCGTCCCTTCCAGCAGTCCACCAGCAGTGTTTTCTTTCTCCTGCTCAGGCTCCTTTTCCCCAAATGTGGAGTATTACTAAGCATTTTCAGGTTTGGCTTTAGTTTGTATAATGGGCTGGGGCACCGGTAGGAATGTGTTGCATCAATCTTTGGGTTCTCTGCAGGCTGCCTTTTTCAAGTCTGTGCGCTCTTGATGATTAGGGCTGTAGGGTTTTGTTTGTTCTTGTCTGCAGAGGAGTTGAGAGAACGACAGTGTAGCTGCTGACTTTTTTCTGACTTTGATTTATTCGATTAGAATTAGTAGAGAGCCTCCACCAGACCCTCTTTTTACTAGAGCAATTTTAGGTGCAGTAGGTTGGATTTACTCTTTAAGATAAGAGAGTTGAGGGATCCCTGGTGGCTCAGCAGTTTGGCGCCTGCCTTCGGCCCAGGGTGTGATCCTGGAGTCCCGAGATCAAGTCCCACGTCGGGCTCCCTGTATGGAGCCTGCTTCTCCCTCTGCCTGTGTCTCTGCCTCTCTCTCCCTCTCTGTGTCTCTCATGAATGAATAAATAAAATCTTAAAAATAAGATGAGAGAGTTGACTTCGTTGTGCGGCTGCAGTGTGTGTATAGAAGTATGCTCTTGTCGTGGTGTCCTCTTCCTAGGCTCGTCCCAGCTACTCTTCTTAAGTACTTTTTGCCTTTCCTTCTTTTTTAGTTCTTCTTTCTCTACTTCTGCTATAAACCAGGCTTGGTTTTCATGACCACTGAATACATTCCTGAAGTTTCCTTCGATTTAGGATATTTTCATTTTGTGCATTAAACATAATAACGCTTTGAGACACTATCCAGCCTGATTTGAATTTTGAAAGACTGGAGATGTAATTCTCCCCAACCCTTTAAAAAAATGCCAGTAATAGGAAGATTTCTGTTTCTTAAAACTACTTTACTTAATGTTTTTACTAAGGCACATAAAGCTGATTTTTCCTTATTGATTGTTCTTTACTGTATTATGACTTTAAAATTAGTATCTCCTTCCAGGAAGCCTTTTCAGAGTAATTACGATACGATAATGATGCCAGCTGCTTTTTTGACAGCTTTATGGGCATCGTTGTCCTCCCATTTATGTTCTGCTATACCTGTTAGAAAATGTGGAAAGATATATCATGTAAGATCGTTTTGATATTTCACTGTATGGATTGAAAATCATTCTATAAGAATCCCTGTAAGTCATTCTTCTCGGCCCTTCCCAAAGACGCAGAATCAGTGTGATATTGATGGTGCTCCTCGCACTCAGGGAGACCTAGTCAAATCCCACTTTTTCCATATGACAACCTTTTGATCTTCTGCACGTTACTTAACCTAAGTCTTTGTTTCCTTGTTGGTTAAAACTGGGATAATAATCCAATAGCAATAATGAAGTTATATGAAGATCAAATGAGATTGTTTTAGGAAGAGTTTTAAGATAGTATCTGGAAAATGTACAAATGTAAGTTATTAACCCTAAAAATGAACAGTATGTACATTCAGCCTTTTAATGAAGATAAGATACAGGGAATTATAACAGAGGGGAGAAATTGATGGGCATTTGTAAGTTGTGTAGCTGAAGGTTTATGGGAGTTCTTCATAGCAGATATTATTTTTATACTTTTATTTTTTTAATTTATTTTTATTTTTTTTAAAGATTTTATTTATTCATGAAAGAGATTGAGAGAGAGGCAGAGACAGGCAGAGGGAGAAGCAGGCTCCATGCAGGGAGCCCAACGTGGGACTCGATCCCGGGTCTCCAGGATCAGGCCCTGGGCCCAACGCGGCACTAAACCGCTGAGCCATCGGGGCTGCCCTATTTTTATACTTTTAAATGAAGAAGATTGAAAACCATTGCTAAAGGGTGAAGAACATGTTCCTGGACACATAGTAGGCCTTAAGTTAATGCACGCTGAAAGATTGTCAGATATGGGAAGAGGAGAAAAAGGAGGTAGTTTTCTGGGCAGAGGGACAAACAAGAATATCTGTTAGGAAGGGAGTCTAGTCTAGTTGGTAGTTTTGTGATTCACTTTTAACTGGCAAACAGTGTTTGTGAGAAGGGACGTGAGAAGTAATTGAGAATGGAGAATGGGGCCAGGTTATGAAGAGCCTTTCCCATGTTCGGGGCCAAACTCAAGAGTTTGTGTTTTCTTTGGTATGTGGAAAAAATCACTGAAGGCCTTTGAATGGCACACAATAGGGTCATAGCTATTATTTTAGAAAGATGCACCCAGCACAGAGTTTTTCCGGTCCTAACTCTCAAAGATGCGTTAGGAGTCTACTACGAGTTTGTGTGTGTGTGTGTGTGTGTGTGTGTGTGTGTGTGTGTGTGTGTGTGTGTGTTTAAGGTTTTATTTATTCATGAAAGGCACAGAGAGCGAGGCAGAGACATAGGCAGAGGGAGAAGCAGGCTCCTCAAAGGGAGCCCCAGCGCAAGACTCAATTCCAGACCCCAGGATCACATCCTAAGTTGAAGGCAGATGCTCAAAACGCTGAGCCACCCAGGCCTCCCGATGAGTCTGTGTTTAAAATTACTTTGTCAGTGGGGCTCAGGGTGGCTCAGTCGGTTAAGCGTCTGCCTTTGGCTCAGGTCATAATCCCAGGGTCCTGGGATCGAGTCTTGCATCTGTCTCCCTGGCTTCTCCCTCTCTCTCTGCCTCTCCCCACATTCCCCTGCTCATGCTCATGTGTTCTCTCACCCTCTGTCTCTCTCTCTCTCAAATAAATAAAATCTTTTTTGAAAAAAAATTTTAAATTAAAAAAAATAACTTTGCAGTGAAGAGTTCAACTGCAGCTTCAGAGCCCAGGTTTGGGACCTTGGGGATGAAAACCACTTCACCCGTAGAGCTGCTGTAGTTGAAAGTGGGATAGATTTTGCCCTCTCAGCCCCTTCCATCAGTCCTATGACCTCAAAACGATGATATTTCATGTAGTAAAACGGTTCTCCTGGGAAAAAAATTCAAAACTCAACAAGCTAGCAATATATACATATGTTGGTTGCCTTTGGAAAGGGGATTGGCTGGAAAAGGTTGTTTAAGTAGAGGACTTTTGCAGTAATCTTGGCATGAAGTTGAAAATGGAGAGGATCTGATGAACGGGGGAAATACCCTAGAAGCAGAACTCGTAGACCTGCTGACCTCCTGGATGTGGAAAGCTCTGCGATGACTGACCACCCAGTGTAGGAGTTGATTAACCATGTATTTATTCATCACTGAACATATGTTTCAAATTATGTTAATTTTGACAGGTGCAAAACCAGCATGCGAGAGAAGAGTCTCTTGCTGATGATCTCTTCAGGTAAAGTTTAATTTCATCTTTCTCATGAATCTTTGAGATGTGTATAAAATTCAGTTTTTATTCACAGAGATTAAATACTAATTTCTTCTGTCTTATGGGGTGCCAGGCTGGTTCAGTTGCTCGAACATCTGACTCTTAATTTTGTTTTTTTCATTTTTTTTTTTTTTTTACTCTTAATTTTGGCTCAGGTCACAATCTCTCAGGGTTGTGGGATCAAGCCCCACATCGGGCTCTGAGCTCAGTGTGGAGTCTGCTTATCCTTCTCCCTCCACTCCTCCCTGACACAACGCACGCTTGCTCTTTCTCTTGTTCTCTCTCGCATGTGCGTGCGCGCTCTCTCTCTAAAATAAATAAAATCTTTTTAAAAAGAGAAAAAAATAATCAGTCCCTTCACCTAAAGAATGTTTTGTTTTAATGTATGTATTTCTTTTTACTACTTGAGCACCCCTCATTTGGGTTTGCTGGATATGTCTTCAGGGTTTAGGGTTGATTCAGTTGAACTCTATCACAAGATATTTAAAATTTGTGTGAAGGCATTCATGCAAAAGAAGGGTCCTGAACTGGTGAATTTGGTTGATAATGTTTGTGAGATTTTCACCTCTGAGTAGAATCATGAGTGAGTGGGTTTTGAGTTAAGACAAATTACATACCAGAGCATTTGTTCAGGTTTAGTTGGCACAAGCATAAAAACAAAAGGCTGGATTAGAGTTTCAAATCAGTGTTTTGTGGGAGGTTTAGAGGAGTTATAATGGTCGATTACAATTTAATTCTGATTTAACACGTTTTCAGCATTCCTGCAGGCCCAAGACCTTATAAAATTAGCTCTCAAAAACAAATAGTTTAAAATCAGATTACCTTTATCTACTTATAGATAGGTACTGGCTAGGGGAGAGTAACACACTCCCAAATTTATATAAAGGCAGAACCAAGAACTACTGTATTTTTGAGTCTCTTTTGTAGCCAGTTTGAGTCTTTTAAGTTCATTATTGACAGTGTATATGTCATTGGGGTTAAAATGTTGACTGTGCTGATTTTTCATAAGTAGTTAATATCTGGTTGCCAGTTAAATTTATTTAATTACTGTAGGAGAAAATTATATGAAGCAAATCTGTTGTAGGCTCATTATACTCTTTTGTGCAAATCTTCTACATTAGTTGAGAGTGGAAGGAGTCTGAAGCCAGACTAGGAGAGGTGTAAACATGTATTTTATTTTTTAATTGTTTTAATTAATTATTTTAATGCTTGTATAGGACTTTTTCTATTGTTGATGTTCTCTTTTTACCAAATATTCATCAAACCAACATCAAAAGGATAAATAAAAGTAAAAATGTCTGTGCTTAATATCAGACCCTCAGGATAAAATTGTCATTCTCATTGTGTTTGCCAAAGTGTAACCATGTTTTGAAAACCCTTTTACTTTAAAAGTGAAAGAAATGCCATCATTTATCTAGATATCTTTTAACTTTTCTTTCTTTGCAGATACAATCCAAATGTAAAGAGGAGACGATAACTGAGGATTTTATAAAGAAGTCACAGAAAAGCATTTCCTATCAAGCATTTACTTCAAGATTCCTCTGGGATACATTCATTAAATCTCTAGAAAGGATTTAAATTACAGAGGTTTTATGGCCTAAATTTGTTGAATAAAATGTACAGAACTCCACTTTTTTTTGTGTGTGTGACAGTATTATTATTCAATCTTCAGTCATCTCTTATGGTAATTTTTTTCATTTCTAAATGTGGCTTTTTATTTATTGAATATTTAATAATCAGCTCAAAATTCTAAAAGTATAAAAGGATAAGAAATGAAAAACTCGTGCCTCTACCACAGGTCTAGCTATTTAGTTCTCCTCCTCAGAAAAAAATCCATGGTACTCATTTGTTAGGAGTCTTTCCAAAGAGTTTTGATGCCTATTTAGATTTTTGTGCATATTATTTTTCAATAATTTCCTACAAAAATGATAGTATAACATATACAGTATTCTTCACCTTGCTCCTTTTTTGCCAAATAGATTGGAAGATCATACACATATCAGAGCATACTTTCTTCCCCCATTATACCATAGGCTTCCTCGAACTGAAGTGACCCAAATGAAATGCATGAAATGCATTTCAGGGGGGAAGATGTCACCCACATATTATTCTAGTCCTAGAAGAGACAAGATGGAAGACTTCCTCAAGCTTGTGGATAGGTCTTAACTAGAATGGGACGACTTATTTGGTGGTAACTGAGCTGGGTGGGTGTGCCTCTCTTTTGAGCTTCTTAGAGTCCTAGTTTTCCTCTCTGCAAAGTAGAAATGATAAAATTGTCTTCTTTCTCTGTTAAAGGGAGATGGTAAGAAAAAAAATGTCTTTTTTCAAATTTTGTAATAGAGACAACTTTGTACCTTAGAATTATAGTAGTGTTTTTATCAACTCCAAGGACTGATGCATTAAGTTCGGGGAAGTAGAACAAGCTTTTTATACGGATTGAAATCTCCGTGGTCTCACACAGCTCCTGCCACCCTAACGAGCCAAGCATTTCAGCTGGTTAGCGATAGCCTAGCATGAAGAATTATACTGTAAGTTAATATGTACTGTTGCTACATCCTCATGGAAGATGATTGATGTTGAACACCTTTTCATGTATTTGTTGGCCATTTGTGTATCTTTCTTTGGAAAAAAAAAAGTCTATTTAGCTCCTCTGCCCATTTTCTTAATTGGATTGTTTGGTTTTTGCTACTGAGTTGTAGCAGTTCTTTATGTATTTTGGATATTAACCCCTTATCACGATCATAACCCCATATCATATACGATATATGATGTGCATGTATTTTCTCCTATTCCGTAAGTTGCCTTTTTGTTTGGTTGATGGTGGCCTTCAACGTGTAGGACCTTTTTAGTGTGATGTAGTTCTATTTGTTTATTTTGTTGATTTTGCTTGAGGTATCAAATCCAAAAAAAAAAAAAAATCATTGTTATGACTGATGTCAAGAAGCTACGTTTTCTTCTAGGAGTTTCATAGTTTCAGGTCTTACATTTAAGTCTTTAAGCCATTTTTAGTTGATTTTTCTGTATATGGGTAAAGATAGTGGTCCAGTTTCATTCTTCTGCATGTGGCTGTTCAATTTTCCTGCAACCATTACTGAAGAGAGAACTATCTTTTCTCTGTTGTATACTCATGGATCCTTTGTCAAAAATTAATTGACCATAAACGTGTGACTTTATTTCTGGGCTCTCTATCATATTCGATTGATCTCAGTGTCTTTTTATGCCAATACCAAATAATTTTTATTGATACAGCTTTGTGATATACTTTGAAATCAGGAAGTGTGATGCCTCCAGCTTTGTTCTTTGTCAAGGCTGCTTTGGTCATTTGGAGTTTTAATATGGGTCCAGCTTTTTTTTTCACATGTGACTATCCAATTATTCTACAACAATTTATTGAAGACACTCTTCCATTGAGTGTTTCTTGGCAGGTATATATACTTGGGTTTCTTTTGAGGCCCTGGATTCTGTATTTGTCTTGGTGTATTTGTTTTTATGCCCATACTATATGGTTCTACTGACTAAAGCTTTATAGTATAGCTTGAAATAAGAAAAAAAGGATGACTAATTCTTTGCTCTTTCAGGATTTTGGGGGGCTATTTGGGGCCTTTTGTGGTTCCACACAAATTTAGGAGTGCTTTTTCCACTCTAAAAAAATGCCATTGGAATCTTGATAGGGATTGCGTTGAATCTGTAGATGCCTTTTTGTAGTATTGATGTTTTTAACAATATTAATTCTTCCAATCCACCAACAAGGGAAACCTTTCTCTTAGTATCTTTAATTTCTGTCATTGGCATTTTATAGTTTTCAGAGATCTTTTTTACCTCCCAAGTTAAATTTGTTCCTAAGTATTTTGTTTTTGGCTCCATTTCAAATGGGATCTACTTTATTTTTTCAGAAAATTTGGTGTTACTGTATAGAAAAGCTACTAGTGTGAATCCCTGGGTGGCTCAGTGGTTTAGCGCCTGTCTTTGGCCAGGGGCGTGATCCTGGAGACTTGGGATCGAGTCCCACATTGGGCTCCCTGCATGGAGCCTGCTTCTCCCTCTGCCTGTGTCTCTGCCTCTCTCTCTCTCTCTCTCTCTCTGTCTTTCATGAATAAATAAATAAAATCTTTAAAAAAAGAAAGAAAGAAATGCCCACTGGTTTTTGTAAGTTAATTTTGTGTCCTGTAATTTTACCAGATTTACTGATTGGATGTAACAGGTTTTTGTTGAGTGTTTAGTATTTTTTATAGAATCATGTTGTCTGCATATAGAGACAATTTTACTTCTTCCTTTCCAGTTCTGATGCCTTTTATTCCTTTTTCTTGCCTGACTGCTCTAGCTAGGACTTCTAACATTATGTTGAATAGGAGTGGTGAGAGTGGACACCTTTTGTTCCTGATCTTAAAAGGAAAGCTTTCAGCCTGTCACCATTGAGTGTGATGTGTGGGCTTGTCATGAATGGCCTTTATTATGTGGAGGTACATTCCCTCTGTACCTACCTTGTTGAGCGTTTTTATCATGAATGGATGTTGAATTTTGTCCGTGGCTTTTCTGCATCTATTCAGGTGACTATATGATTTTTAACCTTCACTTTCTTCAAGTTGTGTATCACATTGAGTTATTTGCAAATGTTGAAGCATCCTCATACACCTGGTTATGGTGTATGATCTTTTTAACATATTGTTGAGTTTGGTTTGCTAATATTTTGTTAAGGATTTTTGCATATATATTCAGCAGGGATATCGGCCTATAATTTTATTTTCTTGTAGTGTTATTTTTTGCTTTTGTCATCAGAATAATGCTGGCCTCCTGAAATGAGTGTTTCTCCCACTTCTGTGTTTGGGAGAGTTTGAGAAGGATTGGTTTTAATTCCTCTTTAAATGTTTTGTAGGATTCACCAGTGAAGCCACCTAGTCCTGGGCTTTTCTTTCTTGGAGGTGCTTGATTACTCTTTGAATCTCCTTAGTAATACTTGACCTATTCAGATATTCTATTTCTTCATTATTGCTTCTGTGTTGATTATATGTTCCTAGAAATTCACCCACTCTTGCAAAGATCTACCAGTTTTTGGCATACAGTTGTTTATTATAGTCTGTTATGATCCTTTCTATTTATGTAGTATCAGTTGTAATGTCTCCTCTTTGATTTCTAATGTTACTTTTTCGAGTTCTCTCTCTCTCTCTCTCTCTCGATGTATCTAGCTAAAGTTTTAATCTTTTGAGAAAAAAAAAAAAGCCTTAGTTTTATTGATCTTTTCTGTTGTCTTTTTAGTCTCATTTATTTCTGCTCTTTGTCATTTCCTCCCTTCTAATTTTAGGCTTAGTTGTTTTTTTGTTGTTGTTGTGGTTGTTGTTTTTATCTCAATGAGGTGTAAATTTAGGTTGTTTGAGATATTTCCTGCTTCTTGGTAGAGGCAGCTTATTGGTATGAGCTTTCTTCTTCGAACTGCTTTTCTGCATCCCATTCTTTACATTTTATTTTGTCTCATGGTACTTTTATTTCTCTTTTGATCTCTTCTTTGGTCTATTGATTGTTCATTAGTATGCTGTTTTATATCCAGACATTGTGAGTTTCTCACTTTTCTTGTAATTGAATTCTATTGTGATCAGAAAAGATGCTTGGTAGGACTTCAGTCTGAAATTTTTGAGACTAGTTTTGTGGTCTAACATGCGATCTGTCCTGTAGAATATTTGTGTGTGCCCGAGAAGAGTATGTATTCTGCTGCTGTTGGATGGGATGTTCTGTAAAGGTCTGTTAAGTCCATCTGGTCTGATGCATCACTTCAGACCCATATTTCCAGATTGCTTTTCTATCTTATCTTCCATCGCATAAAATGGGGCTTTGAAGTCTCCAACTATTATTGTATTGATGTCTATTTCTTCCTTCCAATCTATTAATATTTATTCTATATATTTGAGTGATTCTATGTTGGGTGCATAAGTATTTACATTTGTAATATCCTGTTGAATTGATCCTTAATATTATATAAGGATCTTCTTTGTTTCTTATTATATTCATTGGATAGAAGTGTGGTTTGTTTAAGCATAGCTGCTCCTGCTTTCTTTTTGTTTCCATCTGCATGGAGTATCTCTTCCCATCCCTTCACATTCTGTCTGGGTGTGTCCCTGAAGCTGACATGAGTCTCTAATAATCATAAGCAGCAGGTAGTTGGGGCTGGGCTTCTTTGTTTTGTTTTCATCTATTGAGCCACTCTATGTCTTTTCATTGGAGGATTTAGACTATTTACATTTAAGGTGATTATGGATATATATGAACTTATTGCTGTCATTTGGCTGTTTTCTGGCTAATTTCTGTAAATTGTTTTGTCCTTTAGCCCTTCCTTCTTGCTCTCTTCCTTTGTGATTTGGCAATTTTCTGTAGTGATATATGTATATTTCCTTTTATCTTTTGTATATCTAATGTAGATACTTGCTTTGTACAATTGATCATGAGGCTTTAAAACACCTTACGGTCATACAATCTATTTTAAATTGATACAAACTTAACTTTGCATACTAAAGCTCCACATTTTTATCCTTCCCTGTTTTATGTTTTTGATGTCACAATTTACATCTTTATACCTTGTGTAACTATTAACAAATTATTGTACTTACATTTTCTGCTTTTGTCTTTGGACCTTCATACTAG